CTGCCAAGACCCCAGCAGAGGGGAGAGATCTGACTGGACCCTTGTTAAAGCCCTGCAATTTCCAGCCACACCTGGACATGTTCCTGGATTCAAACTCTGGCTGACGTGCCCTGATGCCACCTGCCAGTTCTCAGGACAGAGGTTCTGCCTGCCCGTTGAACCTGACTGGGTCCCGCCCTGCCCCCAGGAGGAAGCCCCAGCACCCCCTCACCCCGCCCCCCGCCCAATCCCTGCAGGACTCCAGAGAATCAGAGCAAGATGACTGCTCTGGGCAGAGAGGGTGCTCCCGGACAACCAGGGTAGGGCTGGCGGTCCCCAAAGCAGCTGGGGGACCTGGGTTTGGCTGGCCAGGCACCAGGATTACCAGTTTTCCCAGGGAGGTCCTAGGGGGCTGTCTGAGCTCATGAAGCATCCGTGTGGGCTCCAGGCCTGTCCTGCTCTGACCCCCATGCCTACCACCTGGCACCCTTCCTCCCCACCCGCTGGCAGAATGCCCAAGGAAAGCAAACCCCACACATCCCCACCAGGCTGGGCAGCGGCCAGCGGGCAGCAGAGGTTCCCCCCACCCCCGTCTTGTATGTGTGGTGACCACACACGTGTGTCAAGCACACCCCTGGGGCCCTGGGCTCTCCTGCGCTCTGCGGACCGTGTGCCTGTACCTCCTGCAACATGGGGCAGGGTGGGGCCCCGAGGAGCACCGGCTGGTGCAGGGCAGCCCAGATGCCACTGCCTGACAGGCTGCTCCCCGGAAGACAGGGTGCAGCAGATCCTGGGGGGAGTGCCTCGGCGCCAGACCCCATGCTGGGCACTTCAGGCGCTCTGCTACCCTGAGTCTTCCCCAGGCTAAGCCGCGGAAGCAGGCAGTTTTCCAGCCCTGAAGAAGTCAGGTGACAGCCTGGGACTTATCACCTCAGCCAGCAGGTCTGATTCCAAAAGCGTGGGTCCCTCTTCCCCCTTCCACATGCATACAGGAAGACTGTAGCCTCTCCATTCCACCCGCCCTGGCATGGGTGTGGGGTGTGCAGCAGGTCCCCATCAGGGAGGGTGCCCAAACCACTGGAAGCCCCCCACTCATTCAGTGGAAAGCTGTTCCCGGCCTAGCCTCTGCCAGCCAGCGGCGGGAGACCCCGGGAGAGGCGAAGGGGAGGGGAGAGGGGGGCCCGGGAGGGGCACCACTCTTTCCTGCTCCCCCCCCCCCCCCCCCCGCCCCCCATCCCCGAGGCCTGGGAAAAGACAGCATATTGAGGCGCGGGGCTCCCAGCATCAGGCCCCGGGATGCTAATGAGGGCGAGCGCGTTCCCACAGCCCGGACATTGTGCGGAGCGGCCCACCTGCTCCTCGGGGAGCGCCCATTGTGCCCGCGCCAATTCACAGGCAATTTAGCGTGCGCTAATGGGCCGGCGCCTTTGTGCGGCCCGCCCGGCCATTGGCCGCCGAGTGTGGGAACGGCCGCGGCGCCCGGGCCCCAGGCGCCTGCCCGCCGCCGCGCCTATATAGGGCCCGCCGGCCCGCCGGCCGCCACTGCCCGCTCGCCCGCCGCCTCTCCGCGCCAGGCATGGCCCCCAGCACCGTGGCCGTGGAGCTGCTCAGCCCCAAAGAGAAAAACCGCGTAAGTGTGCCGCGCCCGCCCCGCGCCCCGCGCCCCGCGCCCCGCCGCCGGCTGACGCGCGTGTCCCCCGCAGCTCCGCAAGCCCGTGGTGGAGAAGATGCGCCGCGACCGCATCAACAGCAGCATCGAGCAGCTGAAGCTGCTGCTGGAGCAGGAGTTCGCGCGCCACCAGCCCAACTCCAAGCTGGAGAAGGCCGACATCCTGGAGATGGCCGTCAGCTACCTGAAGCACAGCAAAGGTGAGCCGCGACCCCGCCGCGCCCCGCGCCCCGCCCCCCGCGCCCCGCCCCCAGTCACCGCCGCCGCGTCTCGCCGCAGCCTTCGCCGCCGCCGCCGCCGCCGGCCCCAAGAGCCTGCACCAGGACTACAGCGAGGGCTACTCCTGGTGCCTGCAGGAGGCCGTGCAGTTCCTGACGCTGCACGCGGCCAGCGACACGCAGATGAAGCTGCTCTACCACTTCCAGCGACCCCCCGCCGCACCCACGGTGCCCACCAAGGAACCCAAGGCCACGGGCACCGCGCCCCCACCCGTGCTAACCCCCGCCAAGGCCACCGCCGTCGCAGCACGCCAGCCCACCTGCGGCCTCTGGCGGCCCTGGTGACCCTGCCGGCCTGGCGGGTGGCCACCCCCGAGGACCGGAGGGCCGGCCAGCCTGCTCCTCTGGCCATCCATCTGTCCCTCCTGGGGCTTGGACAGGCCCCCTTCTCCGGAAGGCTCTCTCTCCAGGCTGGCGGGCCAGCAGGAGGGTCATTCTCAAGAGAATGTGCTTGCAGAGTCCTTGTCACTTAGGACAATCAGGGCCCACCTTCTGCCAAGTGTCTGACTCCATGGGGTTGTTCTGTGTTTGCATTTCAGCAAGTGACTTCTGGGAAGTCCCCGCCGCCTGGGGTTCTATGATATTTGTAAGTGTCAGGGGCTCGGTCAGCCGGTGCCTCCACGTGTAGAAGACTTTCTTCAGGGCCTGCTGCGTCCGGGCCAGGGGTCCTGGCGGGCGGGCCGTGCCGTGGGCACATTTGCCTTTTGTGAAGGCGGAACTCAAGGTGTATCCTCATAGGAACGAGCGTCAGCCTGGATGGGCACGGAAGGGCCACGCGAAGCCGCGGCCACAAGGCCCCTGCGCACACTCGGTTGTCTAGCAGAGGCTCAGAGTGGGCTTTGGGGGGAGGGTGGTGGTCTCCACCATGATCCTCAAAGGGTCCCTGTGTGTGGGTGGGTGTGTGTGGGCAGGATCTGAATTCAGAATTTGAACCGTCGGTCCCGTGGGAGCCCACGGGCTGGCTCTGCAGATTTCCAATAAAACCTGACCAAGCAGCCCTTGGGTCTGTCTCTTGTGCTGTACGTGGGTTCTTGGCAGCCGTGGCGGTGGGGGCGGTCTGCAGGGGCAGAGGAGGCCACGCACCATCATGATCCCCAGCTGTGGGGGGAGGTGTCTCTGCCGGTCACCCTCTGGACAAGGCAGAAGTGCTGGTCCCAGGTGAGGGAAGGCAGGAATGAGGACAGGAAGTGAGCAAGCAGGGGGGAGGCAGGCTGGAAGAAGAGCAGGCCCCATAGAACCCAGAGCCCATGTACAGCAGGAAGGGATGCTGGAGTCATGGCCCCTCGCTAGCTCCCTGCAGGTGGGGGACAGGGCAGGGGGGCACTAGAGTGACAGCTACGGGACTTTCCAGCTCCGTTCGGCTGAAGGGGATGCAGAGACCCTGGCCTGCAGGGGGCCCTCCCTGCAGCAGAAGGGGTTCAGCTGGGCCACACCGCACGGAGACGGTGTTTGCCTCCACCCTGGCCTTCCAGCAAGGCCAGCAGCCCCTGCCCCCGGAAGAGCTCCTGGGAGCAGCCGCTTGGCTAGTCCACGGGTGGCTCTCCCACCCTCCGTGCAGGCCGACCGCTCACCAGGGCCGCAAGAGGCAGGGCTGGTGACGAAGTCGCCAAGGACAGTCCCTCGCCTCGGAAAGGGCACCTATTTTTAGGCAGGGTACTGGACACTGGTTGAGTCCACAGGAGCGTAAAAGGGCGCAGGCTCCCCAAGGGACAAACCCACCCATGCTGGGGGGAGGGGAAGGAGCTGGACATGGGGCCAAAAGCCTTTCACGCGTCACTGGGGCCGTGGGGCCCAGGCCTGGCCGTCCTTCCTCCTCAGCATGCCTCGCCCCACTGCCCTCTGGAATCCTTCGGGCCACTCGGAGCAGAATCCAAGGCGCCCTCTCCAGGCCAGCCCATCTCCTGCCCCACGGCTTTTCCCTGCATCCCACGGACTTCCTGCCTGTGGGCAGGCGTGTCAATGAATGGGGAGGGGGGTGTGCCTCCTGGCCAGGCCCACACCCCCGCACCCGTGGCCCAGGGTCCTCGAAGCTCCAGGCCTGCGTCCTCTGGGACCAGGCCCTCTGCACTCTTCCCCTCCAGGGGCCCCCACCCCTTCGGCACCCACCCCTTCGAAGATATTCACAAGGCTGCCTCTCCAAGGCTGAAGCCCATGGCCCCCTCCCCCCATCACCCCCTGGAGTTCCCAGTTTCTGCTGCCCCACAGGCCTGTGCTCCAAAGGCCTTGCCAGGGGGCTGGAGACCCGTTCAACAGAGGCTGAGGTCCAGAGACACAAAGTAACCAGTCCAGAGTAACCTGGGAGTCCGTTGCCAAAGCCACCTTAGGGACCCTCTGTCTGCCACCAACACTGTCTGGGCTCTTTTCCTAAAGCGCCTAGTGCCCCTGAGGGACATGCATCCCTCAAGGGTCTCCCAGCCATCAGAAGCTTCCCAGCGACTGGCCCTGAAACCCGTCCCGACCACCATCTGCAACCGCACTCCAGCTTCAGGAACCGTTTCAGCTAGTTCTCTGCAAATGCCTGTAGACTCTCCGCTTTGCCAAAAGGCAGCCTCCTCCAGGCAGGCTGCAGTGCTTTCTGTTGCACTCTCTGCAGACCTCACCATCAGAGTGAGTGTCCTCCCCAGCGGCGCGCAGGTGTGCCATCCACCCTGCACTGGTGGCGCCTGGACAGCAGGGCCCCCCACACCCCCATTTCCAAGGGGCTCTCGCAGCCCACAATCCTTCGCTCCTAGACAGCCGGGCTGGTGGGTCACACGCGCCTTGATTACAGCGGTGCTCATGGACAGAGGCAGGTCTTTGGAGCCCCGGGGACCTCCTCTGCACTAATTCACAGCACTGGACGTCAGCATCTGGCCAGCTCGCCGAAAGGGCAACAAAGACAACAGTCCAGACGTTTTCTGTTGGGCCAACGGCCTTGGGGACCCTGGCTCAGGCGAGCCCAGTGGCCCTCCAGCCGCGGGGACCATAGGGGCGGGCGGGGAGGGGCAGGCCCGGACGTCTCATTAGCATAATATATGCGCGGAGGGCGTTTAGCAGTCAAATATATGCGCATATATCTCCATAGATGATTAGGTTGGCCGGGCACATTCAAAATGGCGGAGTGTGGAGCGAGCGGCAGCGGGAGCAGCGGGGACAGCCTGGACAAGAGCATCACGCTGCCCCCCGACGAGATCTTCCGCAACCTGGAGAACGCCAAGCGCTTCGCCATTGACATTGGTAGCCGCGGGAGGGCGCCGGGAGCCGGGCAGCGCGCAGCGGGCGTGGGCGCCGGTGGCGGAGCCGGCGGGCCGGGGGCGGTGGCAAGGACGAAGGGCGGGGCGCGGGCCGCCGGCGCGCACAGCCTTTCGGACCTTGTAGTCCGCAGCCCGCCGGCGCCCGCGTTCGCCGTGGCGGCGGGACTACCACTCCCGGCAGGCGCTGCGCGGCCGCAGCGGGGCACGCCGGGCGTCGTAGTCCGGTGCGGAGAGGCGGGCGGCCCGGCAGCCCCTCGGTGGTCCATCTCCGTAGGGTCTGGCGCCGGGCGGGGCCTGTGTGGCAGGCGAGAGGGGCCCGGGGCCCACCGTCTAGGGCCGCGCCGAGGGTGGACGGCGGCCAGGCCTTGGGGCGCGGGAGTCCTCTGCGGGCTGCCCTCCCGGGCCCAGCCCGAGCCCTCCCGCGGCCGCCTCAGCTCCCGGACGGCTGACATTTGGCGGGAGTTTGGAGGACCTGGACGTGGACCTGGGGGCCCTGGCTGGCGGCCTTCATAAGCCTCCCTGTGCCGCGCGGCCCGCGGCGGTGCCCCAGGGCCCCGCCCAGCCTCCGCCCTACCTTCCTGCGCCGGCCAGCCCCAGACCCTTACCCCGCCCTGGCGCCCCACACCTCCCAGCCGCCCCTGTCACAGCCGACACGAAGTTGTTTCAGGTCACCGGCTGTAAGCGGCCAGGTGGGCATGGCTCCTGGGTAGCGTGGCGCTCGGCGGCCCCGCCCGGGTCCACCCAGGGATGGAAGGCTGTGTCCTGCTGCGGAGGACACCCAGAGTAGGCCAGGGCGGGCCCAGGCTCAGATCCCTGCGGCGGCCTCAGCTGGCTTGTGCCTGCCAGCAGCCAAGAGTGGGCGCTTGCCCGCGGTCCCAGCCACTGGTCACACGCCGACCTGTGGGAGCTGGGCAAGTGTGCTCCTCTCCTGGAGGGAGCTGGGGCGTCCTGGCAGCCCTGGGCGGCCCTTTGGAGCCGTGTGCATGGGATGCTTTTGCCACCCCCTGCTCCCAAGAGTTGCTCTGCTGTCTGGGACTTGGGTGGGGGAGGGCGTCTTCCAGGAGGTGGGAGCTGTGGGGAGGTGGGGCTGGATCCCCTGTTCTCAGCCTGCAGACTGCCGGGGTGGTGAGCGGCGCTGCTGTGGGGCCCTGACCTGGTGGCAGGTGTGCAAACGAGCCCATGTGGAGCCCGGCACAGGAGGAGCGTGGGACCTGATGAAACGTCGTGCCCGGGTGCATGTTGGGCTGGCTAGGGGAAGCTTAGAGGCCCGGCTTGGGGGGTCCTCCACAGCCAGGCTTCCCAGGAGGCCCCTCAGGGCCCTGCTCTGTGTGTCTTCGGAGACCCGCCCGTGCCTCCAGGTGACCAGGCCGTCGGGTGTGAGCCCTCGGGCACCCACCCGGTTTTCCGGCACATACGCTGGGGTGCTGCTGCTTGGGAGCGAGTCGGCACTTAGCGTTTCTGAGGTGCAGCCAGAATTGGATGGCCGCAGGGTTGACCTTTGATCTTCTGTGTGGCCCCCAGGGGCAGCTTGTAGCCATAGGACTCGGGCAGTCCAGGAAGGTGTCCTCTGGCGCCAGCCCAGGCGGGGCTCCTGGGCAGAGGACACTCGGGATATTTTTAGTGTCTGTGTTCATTTCCCCTCTTGGGAGATTCCCTGGGTCTGGGTCCCGTGTCTGTGTTTCTCTAAAGGACACAGTCATTGTTCCAAAGGACAGACCTCGAGTGCATCCCCAGGGCTGGTAGGAGGTCACCGCTCAGGTGTGGGTCCTCAGCCCTGAGTACACCAGTCACCGTGCGCGTCTACAGTCTGCTTTAAAAACAGGCTTCTCCCGCTTCCCCTGGCCTCTCCCAGGCCTCTTGGTCCAGCAGAGCTCGGCGGCTCTGTGTTCTCGGCCGGCCTTTCTCTCTCTCGGACACTCGTGTCAGCCAAGTGGATTCCTCACTTGGAAAGCACTGGGGACATTTTGTCAACACAGATTGGGGTGTCCCGCGCCCCTTGTTGCCCAAAATAGAAGGACAGGCCAAGAAGGCAGAGGAGGGGACGGCCCTGAGTCAGGCCCCATAGGTCTGGGTGAGTGCGGGGGTCTTGGCTCGGGGGCTGGAGAAGGGACACAGGGAGGCTGCGCTCACGGTCCGGTGCTCCTGGCCCTGGACTGGGGAGGCTGCAGTGCCCGCCAGTGAGCACAGGGCTGCATGCACTGCCCCTCTTAGGCTTGACGTGCCACGACCTGTGGCTGGGAGCTGGGTTGGCGCTCACTAAATCCAGGGCATCCGAGCTCTCCGGCTCTGCCTGCCCCTGCCCCTGTTCTGCTCCATGAGCTCAGTCCAACCAGGCTGACGGCCCTGCTCCACACGTTCACGCTCACCTCACAGACCCCTGACTCTTCCCTCCCCAGGGGGTGTGGAGACACGTGTCCGGGCTGCTGGGCATTGCCCCATGGGGGGCGCGTGGCGTGGGGCACACAGACCTGACTTCCCTCCCCCCAAACCCCAGCACTCATGTTTGCTTGGATTTAAAGCGCATCCAGAGAACACACAGCCTGAAACTGGGTTTCCGCAGCAGGTGAGGGGGGCTCGCGTAGGGTCGCTTTTTGGAAAGTCTCTCAAAGTGTATCTTCATCCCTTTGCGTTGCTGGCCTTTTTAGGAAACCGTTAATTCAGAGTGGAGGACGCTCTGGCCAGGCGGGGATTGGGGGCAGGGAGGACGGATAAGGAGGCTTAAGACCAAGTTCTCCCGCTAAAGCTCACGGCCTAGGGATGAGGGTAAGCCTGTGCCTGTGCCGGGGTGGCCTGAACAGGGCCCGCCAAGGGCAGGTCACCGCCATCCCCGCAGGCCCGTCCACACTGTGGCAGGCTCCGAGCGCGCGCTCTTGACTGGGTTTCCTGTCCCTGGACCAGCTTAGCCCTCAGATGCTTCCCGCCTTGCGTGTTTCTTGTATGTTCCCTCGGGATCGTGTCACAAAGCACCGGTCAGAGATGAGCCTCAGCCTCCGCCTCACATAGGGCTCGGCCTCACCTGGGCCAGCCCAGGGAACCGGGCAGGTTTCAAAGCGGCTCTCGGCCCCGAGCCTCCCGCCCCTCCTCCTCCTCGTCATCACCGGCTGTCGTGCACGGATCCGCTGGCCGCCTCACTCCACACACTCGGAAGTGACCGCCCAGGACGGCTTTTTAAGTGGCCCTGAAACGTGTTTCAGGCGAATAAAGCCTCTTCTGCTTCCCGATGCTGGGCTCCTCAGGGTGTTCACAAGGCTGGCTGGGAGGAGGAGACGCTGCTGCCCCCCGTGTGGCCTCTGGCCCAGAGCCGTGAGAGGGTGCGCTGGTGAAAGCAGCCCCCTCCTCTGCCCGTCCGCTCTGGGGAAATACTTCTTTTATTGCTTCCCCGTGCCATCACGGCCGGCTGGATGCCGGTCAGTGAAAGCTGTGTACTCGCCAGCCTCCTCTGTCGGGTCATTTTCACGATCAGAGTCTGAAATGGAATTTTTCTGAACCACTCATGATCGCTGAGGCTTCCCGGAGACAGGACGCTTTCCTTCCCCCCCAGGACTGGATGCGGAGGGGAGGTGGACAGGCTCAGGCCTGGTGTGGTCTCAAAGACAGCGGAGTGCCTGGGTCTCCCAGTCGATGCCCTTCCTCTGCCAGGGGCCCTGCAGAGTTTTGGGCTCAAGTTACACCAAGTGCCTCACGCACAGGACAGTGTGGCAGAGACCGTGCGCGGAAGAGCCTCGGGCCCTCCCGTCCGGCTCCTGACTTTGCCCGTCTGTGTCTCCCCTGCCAGGGGGCTCGCTGACCAAGCTGGCCTACTACTCCACCGTGCAGCACAAAGTGGCCAGAGTGCGGTCCTTCGACTACTCGGGCAAGGTGAGCCGCCTGGCGGGCTGGGTGGGCAGGCGACGCGGTGCCCCCGCCACGCGGTGCTCTCGTGCTCTCCTGGCCCCCGGCCCCCACCGCTCACCCCATCGGCTTAGCTTCCTGAAAATCCCTCCCTGCTCCCTCGCTCGGCCCCCCTTCCGCCAGGGACCCCCGCAGGGCACCTGCTCCCTCCCCGCCCTCCCACCTGAACTCCCCGGGGAGCTGTGCCTTTCAGGGCCCTCATGTCCACGTCCTTCCCTCCCCGAGGGCGGCACGCGCACCCAGACCCCTGCCCTCTACCCGCAGGACGCAGAGCAGGACCACGAGCCGCCCTACGAGGTCTCTGTGCAGGAGGAAGTCACCGCCCGGCTGCATTTCGTCAAGTTCGAGAACACCTACATCGAAGCCTGCCTGGACTTCATCAAAGACCACCTCGTCAGCACAGAGACCAAGGTCATCCAGGCCACCGGGGGCGGGGCCTACAGGTTCAAGGACCTCATCGAAGAAAAGCTGCAGCTGAGGTTGGTGGGGCCGCAGGGCCTGGGGGAGCGCAGGGGCCGCTGGCCTTGGGTCTCGGGTCGGGCTCTGAAGGGGCTAGGGTGTGAGCTGGGCTGGCATCAGGCTTCTGGTGGCTGAAGCCTAGGACGGCCTGGCGGCTGAGGAGAGAAGGGGGCCCTGCTCCTGCCTGCTCCTGCGCTCCCCGTCCTGCCGGCGCAGAGGTCCCTGACGTCTTTGCCACGTGGGGAGTGAGGCTGGGGCCACGCACGCAGCAGAGTTCCGGGTCTTCGGGTGCGTGCGGCTGGCCCGTCCGAAGCCATTTGCAGGGCAGAGGGGAAGGGGCCGGTCTGAGTTGTGCCCGGTGCGCCTGGGAGCCACGCGTCCCTCGCAAGTGGGCGGCTGAGCGCGGCCGGGAGGGAGCCCCGGAGGGAGGGAGCCCGGGGCCGGCCCCGCCCGAGCGCACCGCAGAGGCGCTACAGCGTCCAGGCTCTGTCCCTTGCAGAGTGGACAAGGAGGACGTGATGACATGCTTGATAAAAGGCTGCAACTTCGTGCTGAAGAACATCCCCCATGAGGCCTTTGTGTATCAGAAAGATTCCGACCCCGAGTTCCGATTCCAGACCAATCATCCCAACATCTTCCCGTATCTGCTGGTCAACATCGGTTCTGGAGTCTCCATCGTGAAGGTGACGCACGCTGGGGGGTCACGCTTGGGGCGGCCGGGCAGGGTCGCCGTCTGCCGGGGCCGGCCGGGTGCAGCTGCGGGGCCAGCGTGGGCTGCCGGGGGCGCGGCCCTCAGGAACGGAGTTGCCCGTGTCCGGGCCGCCCCGAGCCCGCGCGCCCCGTGAGCCGCCGGGTGGGGCCGGGCCCCGCTGACCGGCCTGCTGCGCTGCGCGTGCAGGTGGAGGCCGAGGACAGATTCGCGTGGGTCGGCGGCAGCTCCATCGGGGGCGGCACCTTCTGGGGACTTGGGGCTCTGCTCACCAAAACGAAGGTACTGCAGGGGCCAGAGGGAGGCGCCGCGGGCTCTGCTCCGGGTCCTGGTCCCGGACCATCTCAGGAGGGGTGGCAGCTCCGAGCCGGCGGCTGGGGGACCGGCCAGGGACCCGGTCCTCGCCCTGGCCGTGGTTCCCGGTCGCTGCAGGATGGCCCTCCGCGCTGCCCGGGTCGCCCGGGCCAGTGGGCGGCCGGCGGGGCCCGGACCGCCTCTCCGACGCTCGGCTTGAGCCCTCCCCGGACTCAGGAGGGCCTCCTGGCCGGCCGCGTGCCGCCCCGCGGGCTGTGGCAACGCGGCAGTCCCGCAGCCCCCCTTCTGCCCCGTCCCCGCAGAAGTTCGACGAGCTGCTGCACTTGGCCTCCAAGGGCCAGCACAGGAACGTGGACATGCTGGTGCAGGACATCTACGGCGGGGCCCACCGGACCCTGGGGCTGGGAGGCAGCCTCATCGCCAGCAGCTTCGGGAAGTCAGCCATGGCCGACAGAGGTACCCGCTCCCTGCGACGCCCTCTGCGTGCCGCCGGCCCCTCGCGGCCTGGCCCCGCCCAGCAGCGCCCGCCTGTGCCCCCCCCAGAGTTCTCCAAGGAGGACATGGCCAAGAGCCTGCTGCACATGATCAGCAACGACATCGGGCAGCTCGCCTGCCTCCACGCCAGGCTGCACGCCCTCGACAGGGTGTATTTTGGCGGCTTCTTCATCCGCGGCCACCCCGTCACCATGCGCACCATCACCTACAGCATCAACTTCTTCTCCAAGGTGACCCCCGCGGGCCCCTGGAGCTGCCGCCCCTCCCGCCCTCCCCGATGCTCACTAGCTCGCCCTCCCGCCCTCCCCGATGCTCTGGCGCCAGCCCTCCGTGTCCTCAGAACCTGTCGACCAAAGGGCGGGGGGCCCAGGGCAGGCTTTTCCCGGGCCCCTGCCTCTTTGCCCTGGCGGGCTCCAGCGCCGGGCACCGTGGCCGTCTCAGAGTTGGTCGCGGCGGCAGCGGTGGGCACGCGGGTGCCGTCTCCCCCGTGAACAAGCTGAGCTCGGAGACGTCCTTCATTCCCCGGGACCCTGTGGGCTGGGCCTGCGAGCGGGGTGCCTGGGTGGGTGTTCATTTTGGGGAAGAAGCTGGTCACTCTCTGATTTCTCCAAATGCCAAGCTTTTAACTTCGGCCTGAAAGTGGTTTCGTGGACGAGTGCGTCGCGGACTTTTCGGGAAGCCTCTGCCCCATAGGGAGGCGGACAGCGGGCGGCGGGTCGGTTCAGAGCTGCCCACACTCCCCCTGCGGCGGTGAGGCAGCTCAGGCGGGGTCTTGCTGTGGCAGGGGGCGGTCCAGGCGCTGTTCCTGAGACACGAGGGCTACCTGGGAGCCATCGGAGCGTTTCTTAAAGGAGCAGAACAAGACAGTGAGTCCGGCGGCCGCGGTGACGTCGCGTCCCGGCCGCGCAGGGCACGTGGGGAGCAGGAAGCGGTGGAGGCTGTGCAAGCGGGTCCCTCTCCCCGGGAGGTGCCGGACCACTGCCTTCGCTCTCCCTCTGGAGTCCAGCACCCACGTGGCGGTCTCGCTGGGCCGGGCGGGGGCAGGGGCTGGCCCTCAGCAGCAGCCCTTCCTCCTTCCGAGGGGTCGTCTGTGCGCGACGAGGCGAGGAACGTGCCTTGGCGGCCGGCCCCTTGAAGTCCACTTGTAGGGTGTGATGGGGAGGGCGGGCAGGCTGCTTTAAGACGCTTGCAAAGGTCCAAGTAATCATACAAGGGTTCGTACTAGCGAGAGAGACCACGGTGCCACAGCCCCAGGCTCCCTTGGTATTGTGGGGATCTTCTGTGGCGGTCAGGCCGTGCTGGGGTGTGGGTGCAGAGTGGTACCCCTGGGGTGACCCCTGGTTTTCTCCTGTCCAGACCCTAACCAGTACAGCTGGGGAGAGAACTACGCAGGCAGCTCCGGGCTGATGAGCTCGTCCCCAGAGCTCTGCCCGACACAGAGGGCCAGGAGCGGCACCGTAAGTGCGGGGTCCTTGGTGGGGTCAGGTTCCGAGACCCCCTGTCCTGGGGCAGACTGGCCACTGACCGACCATGGACATCAGGACGATAAGAACAGGGGTGCTGGCTTCCTTCCTCAGGCCCCAGCATTTCTGTGTTTTCCAAAAGTTCCGCGGGAGCCCCAAGACCGTGCAGTCCAGGCCCCTGTTTGCAGGGAGAATACAGTGTGTGCTTCCGCGGGACCGTGGAGCCACTGACAGCAGAACTGGGGTCGGCACCAACCCGGGCCCCTCCCCTAAGACCACATTCTGTCCCTGATGGTTTCAAACCGGACGGAGGCACAGAGTCTCTTGCCCTGGGAAGTTTCCTACCCATTGCTCGACCCCCAGCTGGGGAGACACCTGTGTGACTGGGCAGGGGCTTCTCCGTCCTGCTGAGTGGGCACAGAGGGTCTCCCACCAGGACCAGTGTCAGCCGGACACAGGACGCTGCCACCGTGGCCCATACTGGGGAACTCACAGGCTTACTGAGGACGTCCCCCCAACTGGCATGTCACTCTTGTAAGTCTCTGAGCACTTGGCAGAGCACGGGCACCGGGCTGGAGAACCAGCTGGACGAGTCCAGGCGGCCAGTCTGGGCACACGGGTCCGATTGCCTCCTTCAGGACCAGCCTGCTGGCTTTTCGGATGCAAAGCTGGTTTTCAGTTGTAGACGCAGGTTCTCTCACAAGTCGGCGTAAGCACCGCAAGAACACGGGGTCTGATCATGACTTCCTACGAGAACCCCGCCCAGGACCCCGCGCGCCGGGCCCGGCCGTGCAAGTAGGTGGCACGTGCAGGGTCTCCGCATCTTTGATCCCCACTTCTGATCTGTGGAGGCGCGACGTGGATTCCTGCCTCAGGGATCGCAAAGCCGAACGGATACGCGAGCGAGGAGGGCGAGTGTCGGAACTGGCGTGTGTGCCGGCTTGCTCTGCGCCGCACGCGCCCGTCCTGCTGGGTCTCTGGGCGTCAGAGGCTCCCACCACGCACGGGCGTGCAGAGCCTACATAAGGCAAAGCTGAGGTTTGAACTGCTTGTCGGCCGGGCGGGGTGCCCCTGAACACCGGGCCAGGCCCCAGAGATGGGCGACCGTCCACTTTCTTTCATCGCGTGGAAATGCACCAGCCGTTTCCTGGCTGAGCGCCCGGTCATTTGGGCACCCTGAGAGCCAGGGTGTCCCCAGGTGCAGGCACCACAGCCCAGAGCATGCCTGCCTTTTGCCCTCCCAGCTTGCCGGTCGGGCCACCGGCAGACAAGAGCTGAGTCAGGTGCACGGCCACAAGCAGGAAGAGGGCTGCCAGGCTCGTGCCCAGTGAGGTGCGAGCACATCTCCGGGGACCAGGGCTAGTGTGACAGCAGCCTCGTCTGAACAACAGAAAACTTGAAAGCACCCGGTGGCCGAGGGACGGCTCCTGCTGAAATGACCGGAGCATGTGCTTTTGGCTGGTGGTCCCAGGTAGCACGTCGGGCGGGAAGGGGTCCTGCCCCTCGGCGTAGCCAGGGAGTTGCTTCCGGACGGCAAGTGTGGTGGGCACCCATGCTGTGGAGAGAAAGGAGCCAATGTGGGAGCCTGGACTGCCTGCCCCACGGGGTCCCCGTGGCCTTGCTGTGGGCACGGTACCACGGGAGTCACGGAACGAGGGCCGACTAGGCAGAGAGGGGACCACGCCCGTGGGAGCTGGAGCAGCAGAGACGGGGCCAGAAGTGCAGCCCGCACGTGTGGGGAGAGCAGCACAGGCTGGTGCAGGCGTCCCCGGCCACGGGGCCACCCCATGGCAGGAGCACCAGCAGAGTCACTGGGAGGGAGGTGGCCTCTGTGGGGTTGGGCGGACTCAGGATCTGGGGAGCCTGGTTCTGGGCACCGAGGCCGGGAAGGGCTGCAAGGTGGGCGGGCGGGGCCCGGGAAGAAGGGGCCTGTCCACCCCGTCCTTGTCCGCTCCCCACAAGGAGCTGCTTCTCAGACTGGCACGAGGGGTCTCGGTCTTCCAGAACCGCCCGGCTGACGCACATGTCGCCTCTCGCCCTCCCAGTTTGACTTGCTGGAGATGGACCGGCTGGAGCGGCCGCTGGTCAACCTGCCCCTCCTTCTGGACCCTTCTTCCTACGTGCCTGACACGGTCGACCTGACGGACGACGCGCCAGCCCGCAAGTACTGGCTCACCTGCTTCGAGGAGGCCCTGGATGGGGTGAGGGCTTGGGGCGGGCCGGGAGCCCCCGGGGACGAGAGACGGGCGTCTCTGGACACTGTGGGGCTCCCGAGGAGCAAGCGACAGTTGTGGGGGGGTTGCTCAGTGGCCGTGGGGTCTGTGTCGGACTTTGAGGGTTGATTCCTGTTCCTTGGGTGTAAGTGCGACCCCAAGGGCTTCGTGGGTCCACACCTGGGACTGTGCCAGGTCGCCGCGCTGGTCATGTGTTTGGGCGGAGGCACGCGGTTGACGTGGGGTTGGGGGCCACGGCGGTGCGACTCCAGGCCCCGGTGGGTTGCTTCTCGGGCCTTCCAGGCCCCTGCAAACGTGTGTCTCTCTTCAGTCCTCGTAGACCTCCAGGCTCTGTCCTCTGAGTGAGGGGCCTCCAGGCCGGGACCTCGCCATGGTCTCCGAGGATGGTCCCAGGCCACCTGTCCCCCTCTCCCCCCCGCCCCCGGTGCCACAGGAGCTCGTCCTGGCCAATGTGGCTCTGAGCCCCGGGTGGGGGCCGGCAGTGACCCCATTCCCACCCCACAGGGGAGAGCCCGGGACCCCGATCGCCAGCGGCCGTGGGCCTGTGTGTGTGGACATGCTCAGACCACGGCCCTGGCTGCGCGGAGGCCGGGGCCTTGCTAAGCGGCCTGTGCCCGGCAGGTGGTGAAGCGTGCCGTGGCCAGCCAGCCAGGCTCAGCGGACGCGGCCGAGAGGGCCGAGAAGTTCCGGCAAAAGTACTGGGGCAAACTGCAGACGCTGCGGCATCAGCCGTTGTGAGTGTCCGCGCTGGGCTCCCAATAGCCGCCCTGGGCGCTGTGTGCCTCTGCCTGGCCTCCCCGCGCACCTGCTCCGTGGCCACTCTGCCGCGAGGACACCCTCCAGGGGCCGGGGGGGCGGGGGGGCGTGTGCTTGGCGGTCGACCCCCTGAGCTGCCTTCTTCCGCCTCTTCCCCAGCGCCTACGGGACCCTAACCGTGCGCAGCCTTTTGGACACGAGGGAGCACTGTTTGAACGAGTTCAACTTCCCAGACCCCTACTCCAAAGTGAGTGCCGCCTCCTTGCGCGGGGTTGGTGCCTGTGAGGGGGGCGCAGGGGGCAGGGGGCTGGGGCACGGCCTGGCCTGCCTGGTGCGAGCGCGGGTGGTCTCTCAGTGGGCGGTACCTGTCTCTGGCCTGGTGGGGTCGGCGTCCGGCCTTAGGGTTGGCGTTTGTGGACACCAGTCCTGCTCTCACAGGTGACAAGCCCCCCGAGCCCACCAGCCGGCCGAGAGGTACCACCCTCCTCCTCGGACTGTTGTGCCCAGGAGGCCGTGTGCCCGGGGATGGCGGCCAGGGCTCCGAGCCAGTGCCGCATACCCTGCCTCCTGCCTCCCCTGCCCTCAGACAGAGTGTCTGGGGATAGGGCGTGGGGCGCCTGCGAGGGTCTGATTCTCCCACCGTGGCCCATCTCTGCCCTGCCTGGGGCCACAGCACAAGCTCCCCGCGGCCGTGCCTGAGTGTGCCCCGCGGCCGTGTCTGAGTGTGCGCCCGCGGCCGTGTCTGAGTGTGCCCCGCGGCCGTGAGTGTGTGCGCGCCCGCGGCCGTCTCTGCTTGGGGTCCCCGCGGCCGTGTCTGCGTGTCCCCGCGGCCGTGTCTGCGTGTGCCCCGCGGCCGTGTCTGCGTGTCCCCGCGGCCGTGTCTGAGTGTCCCCGCGGCCGCGCTATTGTCCGTCAGTCGGTGTCAGCATCCGGGTTTGCTGGAGCGCCTGTGACAGCGTGCTGGGCGTCCATCCCCTCAGGGCGGCCTCGTGGGGACGTGCGCAGCAGGGCGCCCTGCCTCTGCCTGCTCCGCCGAGGGCCTAAGGGAGGCAGGGCCGGGCCTTCACGCCGACCAGCGACTCGCCTCTCCCCGCAGGTCAAGCAGAAGGAAAATGGAGTCGCGCTAAAGTGTTTCCCGAGGGTGATCCGCTGTCTGGACGCCTTGGGCTGGGAGGAGAGGCAGCTGGCCCTGGTGAAGGGGTTGCTGGCGGGGAACGTCTTCGACTGGGGAGCGAAAGCCGTCTCTGAGTAGGTGCCGCTGCCTTCATGGCCCCTCCACGCTTCAGCCCTGCCCCTGCCTGCTCACTCCGTCTCGGGCTCAGGGCCGCGGCCCGTCCTGTCCCCCTCGGCCATATGCACTGCCCCAGCTCAGTCCCCGAGGAGGTGGCAATGGGGGGATGGGGTCCCGGTGCCCTGGCCCCAGGAGTGGGTGGCTTCTCTCCTTCCTGGCTGCCCCGAGCCTGTTCAGAGCAGGCACGTGGAGGGCTGGGCTGTGGGTTTGGGGCATGATGTTTTCAGACGCAGAAACCCAGATCTGGGCTTTGCATGTTACGGTGGGAATCAAACCATACTTAACTGTTGAAACTGGGAGATGGAGGTGCTTTTCGAAGGAGCTCGCAGACGCGGGTGGGAGCAGGTGGCCCAGGGGCCCTGAGGGCGTGGCACCCCCAGCCCAGCCCTGAGCCTCTCCCCCTTGCTGGATGCTTGTCTTCTGCCTGGTGTCCTGTCCTTGCCCTCGCTGGGTCTATGTTGAGAAGAGCCCTCGTGCCTTCTTTACCCTTGTCACTGGCTGTCCCTTTGAGTGGCATGTTGGGGCGTGTGCCAGGCGAGGCTGAGGCTGACCCAGCGCCTTGCCGGAAGCTGCCACACACTCGGGATTCTCACCCCTCACTCCGCCCCCAGCTCCCCACCAAGCCCCGTGTCCTGGAGTGGGCTCATCCAGACCGCCACGGCTCCGGGGCCTGTGAGGCTTGCGCACTCCGGATCCTAGCGGGCTCAGCCCGTGTGGGCTCCACAGTGAATGGCGGAAGCTGAGGTTGGGGTTTTTGTGACTTGTTTTCTCCCCCGTGCAGCGTTCTCGAATCTGACCCCCAGTTCGGCTTCGAGGAGGCGAAGATGAAGCTGCAAGGTAGGGGGCTCCCGTCCTGCGCTGGGACTTTGCCCTGCAGGGGAGGGAAGTCGCGAGGGCACAGCTGCGGGAGGGGAGCGGGCCTGCCGGGGCTGGGGCGGCTGATTGGCTCCGTGTCCCACAGAGCGGCCGTGGCTCGTGGACTCCTACAGCAAGTGGCTTCAGAGGCTGAAGGTACACACCACCGCCCCCGCCTGTGCCCCAGGGCCAGGCCGTGTTCTCGAGGCCCCAGGGGAGGGGGGTGGGCACAGGAGGTGGCACGGGGCCACTCCAGGGCGGTGCACCGAGGGCCCCCCGGAGCCGCGGCCCCGCTTCCCCAGCCACTGCCCCCTGCAGGCTCTGCTGGTTAGGTCGGTGGCCGCGGCTCAGAGGTCGTTGGGGACACAGTTCTGGAGGAGCCGCAGGCGCGTCCCGCCCCCCCGCACCCCAGCGCCTGCGGGAGCCAGCAGCCCTCGGCCTCGGCCCGCGGGGAACGTGGAGTACGGAGGTGTCTGCAACGCTTGGACGCGCCTGTTCCCAACTGAACGTCCTGGTTTTGTCTTACAGGGGCCCCCTCACAAATGTGCCTTAATTTTCGCAGATAACAGTGGAATAGACGTCATTTTGGGAGTCTTCCCCTTTGTCAGGGAGCTTCTCTCTAGAGGGACGGAGGTGAGCGTCCAGGCCGCGGCGGGACCCCTGCCCTGGGCCCTCCACTCGCAGTGGGGTTGGCGCCGTCGTGGCCTCTGTGGGGCAGGTAGGTTCGGGTGAGGCTCCTCGCACCACGGACCTTGGGTCAGCCCGACCACAGTGTTCTGGGGCCGTCTTCGTCCCGACCCAGGAGCCGGCCCTCCTGGAGGCCAGCGAGCAGTGAGAGGTCGTTGGGGTCGCGCCGCTCAGCCGGCAGCCCCGGTGGGTGGGCAGACAAGCGCTGGCTCGGCGCCGGGCGGCGGCTGAGGTCCCTACAGAGCTCGGGGCATCCCGCCGCAGGTCATCCTGGCGTGCAACTCGGGACCTGCCTTGAACGACGTCACCTACTGCGAGTCCCTCATCGTGGCCGAGCGCATCGCGGCCATGGACCCCGTCGTCCAGTAAGTAGCCAGGAGCCCGGGGTCTGCGTGGAGAGGTGGGGGCCCAGCGGGAGGGGTGCTGACCAGTCCCTGTGCTCTGCAGCTCGGCGCTCAGGGAGGAGAGGCTGCTGCTGACACAGACGGGCTCCAGCTCCCCGTGTCTGGACCTCAGGTACCCCGAGGCACCTCTGTACCCATCCCTGGCCTCCCTGTGTGCCGCAGAAGGCAGCAGCCCCAGTGGGGCCCCGGGCGGATGGGCTCAGGACCCCTGGCTGCACCGTGGGTCGGGTGGGCCCCGTCTGGCGAGAGAGGCAGACGCCCCCGAGGCCCCTTGGCGCTGATGACCGGGTCGCTGCACTGGTGTTTCAGGCCCTGGGGATCCTAGAGCAGGAGAACCGGGCACCAGGAGCCGGCTGGGGCCAGAACAATTCTCAGGGCCGACCTCCTCCCTTTCCGGGGCTGCTGTCAACCAGGAAAGGGGATTTCATCACGGCGAGAAGCGGCGTTAGGGCCAGGGGGTGGGGGCTCCCCAGGCATCCCTGCCAGTCACTGCCCTTCAGGGACACAGGGCATGGCGTCTCCCTGGGGACAGCTCAGTGCAGGGGTAAGGCACCGCCATCCCCCCCTCACAGCCCCTTCCCTCCCCGCAGCCGCCTGGACAAGGGACTTGCCGTGCTGGTCCGGGAGCGAGGCGCGGACCTGGTGGTGATAGAGGGCATGGGCCGCGCCGTCCACACCAACTACCACGCGGCCCTGCGCTGTGAGAGCCTCAAGCTGGCCGTCATCAAGAACTCCTGGCTGGCCGAGCGGCTGGGCGGCCGGCTCTTCAGCGTCATCTTCAAGTACGAGGTCCCAGCCGAGTGAGGCGCCAGCCCCGCTGGGCAGCTCTGCTCGGCGCTTGTCAGGGACGTGCTCCGACCGCAGCAGGGAAACCGAGTTCAAGCAGAGCGTTCGTGTCGCGCACCTGGGACAGGAGCCGGGGCCAGGCGTGCCCCGGCGCGAGCGTGTGCCGTCGGGTCTCTGTGATGCTGCCACGTTCGTGCTGGGAGACGCGACTTTTGTCCAGTGAGACATGCGTATTGGAATATATTTAACTGTGAAATAATCTTTTATACACACACGTGTACAGATGTAAATCCACGCTCACGTCTCCGGCAGGCCAGCGGGCGCTCAGGGCGCCCAGATAGAGCCCACGGTGACGTCCGGCCGCGCCAGGTGCTCTCAGACAGTGGCCCCACGAGCCTCTCCCTGGGTGGCCGCGAGCGGGGTCTTCCCTCCGCTTACTGCTGGAGCCCCTGATCGTATGTGGGCTGTGGGCCGCGGCCGTCCCCGTGACTCCCCATGTCCTTGCCAGCCCTGTCACCAGCACGTCTTGTCAGGGAAGGCCATCCTATGTGTCCGCAGCCCCACTGCACCCAAGATGGATCGGGGGGCCGGGCCAGGCTGGGCCACGCTCCTGACTGGAGGCAGCAGCCGCAGGAGGGTCTTCAAGGGCTCTCGGGCTTGGGGCCACACACACTCCTGCTCGGACCCGACCCCGTCACGGGGCCGTACGCCCAAGCCCAGAGCCCTGTCCCCGGCCCTTGGAGGGCTGCACGCTGCCCTTTCCCGCAGGGTGTGGGCCTGAGCCACAGCCGCCGCTGCAGGACTGCCGCCCACGTGCACGTGGATGGGGCTCGGCTGAGTCACCTGGGAGCCAGCCTCAGGAGGCGGCCAGCCCCATCCTTGATGCTGCAGCTCCCGCCAGGGGCTGTGGCCACTCCTGCACCTTCCTTCTAGGCCCCCGGTGAGCCACGCATGCATCAACCCTAGCCCCACGGGTTTGTGGCTGCTTGGGCCAAGCCAGGTCTCTGCCCCCAGTGGCAGCCATTCTCAGGGCCCCTAGGCCAGGTTGGCCCAGCAGGGGTTCCCCATGAACCCCCGCCACCCACAAGGGTCCCCCTCCCTCAGCCCCATCACAGTCTGACCTGCATCTCCCCAGCCGACACCCCTGCAGAGCTCAGCAGACTGTGGCCCCCTTTGTGTGGCTTCCCTGGCCCCTTGGCCCGGTGACCCTCTGCCCCCTGCTTCCTGGTGCAGGGAGAGCCCAGCATGGATGCCCAGGAGGCCCCAAAAAGTCTGGCCAGAGCCTGGCTCAGCCCAATATCCAGACGCCCCACAGGTCCTCCCACCTGCCCAGCTTTGCCGTCAGGGGCTGCGGTGCCCCCGCCCTGGTGTCAGCTGGGCAGAGCCGCTCAGGCAAGACCCGCCCTGCTGCCAGCACCCTCTGGGACAGACCCAAGCTCCCCAGGTGTGATGGCAGGTGGCTCCCAACTAGGGCCGGATGGGAATTGGCCCTGCTTCTCAGCTCCAGGAGCCCCAGCAGCCAGCCTGGCCCAGAAGCCCCTGGCTGATGCCCCCAGGTGCTCTCTTTCAACACACCACAGATTCTAGGGACCCCAGAGGTCAGGCACACCTCCTAAATGCTCTGCTCTGGGGCTCCTCTTGGTCTTGGGGCACCGCTTCCCACGGAAGTGTTCCCCGTACCTGAGAAGTGGCGTGGTGGGTTTGGGGGGTGTGGGGCCAGCAAGCACCCTCCACCCGGCCTTTGCTAAGACTGGGTGAGTGGCTGGCACAGGCCTCTGGAGTCTGCAAAGGGGACACCTCGAGGGAGACCGTGCCCACCCACCAGCACCCAGCCTCGTGTTGGTGCCCACCTTCTCGCCAGCCTTATCGGGAAGACAGCAGGGCTTATCCTGGTAGTTGGACACAAGACCTCCCTGGCCAGACCCACCACCTGCTGCATAACGGGCACTCTCGTCGCAGAGGTCTTTGGTAGCCCACATGGCTCCTGTGGAGGTCAGATGCCAGAGGCCGGGCTGGGGGCCAAGCCCAGACACAGACCATCTGGTGTCCTGGCTGTCATCCTGCCACTCCAGGGGAGGGGTAGTGTATGCATTTAGCCAGTTGGGGGTCCTCTGGCTTGGGGTCCCTGCCCAGGGCCAGGGTTGCCCCCTCCCCCCACACCACACACAGGAGTGGGACCACAAGGCTGGGAGGGAGGGAGCAGGGGCTGCATCCTGGAGGCTGGAGGTGTCTGCCAAGCCTCTGTGGAAAGGGGTCAGGGTGTCCTCACACAGACCCCGGACCAGGAACGTGTGGCAGGTGGTCACAGGGCACAGGGGTGGCCCCACAACCAGCGAGCAAGAACGTGTTTATTGGAGTTGCGTCCGCGAGTCTGGGGTCTACAGTGTCCCGTACGAAGGGGGTTTTGTGCAGAACAAGCGAAGTGCCGTCAGTCAGGGGGTGGGCACAGGACGAGCACCGGGAGCCCGCGCGCAGCCGTGCACTGCGCTGCGGAAAAGCAGGTACGACGGGGAAAGGACTGGGCACCATTTTAACGTGGTAGAAGCTTTGTCTCTAAAAATTTTAAATACTTGTCATATATATCTTAACACCATGAAAAATCTGTCCCGACCGCGGGCAGCCTCCCTTCCTCCCTGGGGAGAGGTGGGGGCTGAGGGTCGGGGCTTCCACGGGACCACAGTGCAGGGCCAGGGGTCGGGGGAGGGGCTGGGGACCTCCCACCCTGGGGAGCCCGTCAGAGTCTGAGCAGGAGCCCGGTGGCAGCAGAGCCCTTGGCGGGGGCAGGCACATCCCCACAGCCCCCTGGGCCCCCGGAGCAGGCACCCTCGGGGGTGCCCCGCTCCTCCCCTGGGGGTCCCCTTGGGCCCTGCAGCCGCTGCTGCCGTTCCTGGGCCTGCCGGGCCCGGCTGGCGATGGCGCGCACGCGGCTCTGGCTGCGGGAGGAAGAGCGCCGCAGGAAGCTGGGGGGACCAGGCGCCCCTTCCCCCGCGGCAGTCAGGCTCGTGGGCGAGGTGATGTCACCCGCCTGCTGGAAGCCGGTGAGCCAGCGCAGCTGCTCCGTCAGGGCGTCCCGCTGTGCCCCCTGCCCTGCCCGCCCCTCCCTTGCCAGGCCCAGGCTCCGGCCCAGGATCCCCACTTGGGGGGCAAAGTCGTCAGCAGTCAGGTCCCCCAGGCTCTTGGACTTGGCAGCTGCAGGGCAGTCCCGGAGGCCCGCCAGGGGGAGGCGACCCCAGGGGGGCCTGGGGGCCAGGGGACGCGGCGAAAGCTCTTCCAGTGCGGTAGGCAGCTGGCCGGCAGCCCGCAGGTTGGGGCTGGACTTGCTCTTGGTCACGGCCGACAGGTCCAGGCGGGCAGCTGTGGCCAAGCAGGGCCGCAGGGGCAGACGTCCGGCTAGAGCCCCTGAGACGCTCTCACGGCCCAGGCCCAGGCCCGGCAGGGAGAGGTCGATGACCGTGTCGCTGGACGACACACTAGAGGATGAGGACACGCTGTCGCGATGGCCCCCTGGTTCCAGCCGCCGCCACAGCCGGTCTCCGCTCGTGGCATCCGAGTACACGGTGGGGCAGGGCCCAGCCAGGGGCCGCCATCCACCCAGGAGCTCCAAGGGCATCTGCCCCTCACTCATGGCCTTTCTGACCATCTGGCTGCTGGGGGTCCCCTCGCACGCCCCCCTGGGGCCCCCACCATTGTACACCCTCCGCCGGCCTTCCAGGGTCGGCTCCGTGTCCCCTCTGCTCCGGGTCCTGGGCTGGAAGGGCATGGAAGCTCCCAGAGCTACCGCTGCGGGGCTCACCACTTTGGCGCCGGGTCCCGAGGTGCGCAGGGCCCCTCCCGGGGAGGGGCTGGGGGGAGCAGCCACCAGAGGTGGGGGGCCAGGACCCAGGGATGGCTCCTCAGCAATGGTTTCCAGGCCACACAGGGAGGAGCCCGTCCTCTGCATGGAGAAGGGGCGGGTATCTGTGGGTGAGAGGAGAGGAGCATGTTGGGCACGTCCCCCATGGACAGGGCCTGCGGGGCCCTCAGCGGCCAGGCCCTTCCCTGTGCACACGGCTGCCCCCACCCTGCCCTCCGGCTCTGCTGCTGCTGGGGCTGGGGGAGCAGAGGGTCTGTGCCCACAGGCAGGGTCCACAGGGCCCCCTGGAAGGCCAGGGCTGGGGACGGCACAGGGCACACGGGCTGGGCCCCATTACCTGGCACGCAGTTGCTCTCAGTCCCTAACTATGGAGGCAGCGTGGGGACAGAAAGAAGAACAGGCTGGTCAGCGTGTGGGTGCGACTGGCAGGTGGACAGACAAACAGCGAGGCTGGGCGGGGTGCAAGGAGGGACCGGGGTCTGGGTGGCGGGAGGGGGGCGGACAGGCTCAGCTTCCAGCCCCTCCCAAGGCTGAGGTTCCCTGACGAGGTGCCCTCAGGCTGTTGTCTGTCACAACCGCAGCTCAGCTCAATTCAGGCCATAAAGCAATGCCCAGGGCTGAGGGGTGGGTGTCGTCTCCTCCACCCCCTGCAAACGCGGGGGCCCTGGGCACCGTCCGCCATCTCGGGGCGTCAGGGGCCACCTTGCAGAGCATCACGAGCACACTCCAGGCTTCCCAGAGGACTGCGGTACGCGGCCAGGGGCCGAACACCTGCAGCCTGGCCCTGGGGGGGGGGGGGGGGGGACAGGAAGCTGCCCCCAGCTCTTAGCAAAAGCGCCAGGAGAGGACAGGGCCGGCCAGCAAAGAAGGCCGACTGGGGCTGTGGCCGGGGACGTCAGGTCAGTGCGCGCAGCAGCTGGAGTCAGACCTGCTCTCACTTAGGGGCTCATGGGGAGTCTCTGAGGGCAAGAGGGGGTTGGCACCATCCGCTGGGGAAGGGGTGCTGGGGGCGGCAGGGGACGCCCAGGCAAGCCAGCGGAGCAACGGAGAAGCAGCCAGGACGAGCACACAGAGGCAGTTTCTGAACACAGAAGCACAGGGAGGGTGCCTGGCCCAGGCCATGCCGAAGGGGGCGTGGGGGGCAGCACAGAGGACGCCGGCCAGGAGCATCTGGTCTTACCGGTGGACAGCATGGAGGAATTACTCCTAATCTCCTCCAGCTTTTGAACGAACAAGGCATTCATCTCCCTCTGCAGGGCCCCTGCCTGCCTGCGGGCGCCCTCGGGCCAGTGGGGGGCCACCTCGGGACTGCCCAGGCCGCCGGAGTCCGTGGACACAGAGCCGCCTCCCGGACCTTGCCGCAGGGCCCCTCTGCCTCTCCCCGTGCCAGCACAGGGAGCCCCCAGCGAGTCCGCCCTGGCCCGGGGCTGCTGGCTGATGGCCTCATGCATGGCTGGGGACCCGGGGCTTGGCAGCCGTCCCCGCCGCAGGCCCTCGGCGTCCTCACCGGCGCAGGAGCCCACCACACACTTCATGCAGGTGGCGGCCATCCCGGCAGGCCCGGGGTCCTCAGGGGCACAAGGGGGCGGCTCCTGGCCCGGATTCTGGGGCATCGGGCTCTTCCCCACCAGCGCCTTACCTCGGGGGCTGCGGCTGCCGGGCTCCTCGGGGGCAGGGGCCTCCAGGGTAGGGCCGGGGCTGGGAGCGGCCACGTCACGGGCCTCCCCCTCGGAGCCTGTGTCCTGCGTGCCCAGGACCAGCTCCGGAAAGGCCTTGCGGCCCGGCTTCTGACTCTTGGTTGGGGCGCTGGCCGTGCGCCGCAGGAGCCTCTGGCTAACAGAGGGCCGAGGTGGGGGCCGCCCAGCAGCATGACTGTCCAGCGACCCAGGCTTTGGGCCTCTGAGGAACAGGCCTTTTAGGCCCAGAGCCTGCTTGACCTGCAAGAGAAGGAGCCCACATAGCCGGCAGCCAGGCCCCGGGGACCAGGGACTGCCAGCTCGCAGCCGCAGCCCAAGGGCCAGTGTGTCAGGCTTGTGCCGCTCACAGCTGCGGGTGGGGAAGCATGTCCCCAGGGCACCCCTGCCAGGGACAGCAGCCGCTATGGCCTTGGCACAGACTGGGAATGCTGCCTTCCTTGAATGGAAGGGGAGGGTCTGCGGGTCTCAGGACAGTGGGCCCTGTGAGGGCTGGAAGGAGAAGGCCCCCTGGGCTTCCCAGACAGGGACCTTGAACCGTGGCTCCTGTGCCCACAAGGTACCCCTCACAGGTTCCCAAAGCCCCCGGCTCCAGCAGAGCGGGCTGGCACAGGGTGCCAGGGGGTTGCTGGCAGGGAGAGAGAGAGGAGAGAAAACCCCGTGAGAGCAGCACCACCCCGCTCACACTCACCCTGCCTTCGGGCACACGGGCCCAGGAAGCAAGCAAAGCCGAGCGCAGGCCAGTGGTCTGCTCTCCCACATCCCTGCCTCCCCGCTCCCCCGGAGGCGCTGCCTCTTCTGGGAAGCCTTCCCGACTGCTACTGGCCTCACCGTGCTCTCCGTGCAGCAGCCCCAAGGGCAGGGCCCAGGCTGCCTCGGCATTCCCTGAACTGCTGCTGGCCTCGGCCTTCCTGGACAGCCAGGCCTCTCCCCGCCACCTCCCTGTCTGAGCAGAGCAGCTGGGGGTCCCCGGGACCAGCTGGCAAGGGCCCAGGTCACTGCCAGAGAGGCTGACAGCTGTGTCTCCAGAGTGCAGAGGCCAGAAGGGTCCTCGCATGCAGAGGCCCTGACCACAGCCACGACTGCCCAGGGACAAGGGGGTGCTTCCGCGCAGGGCTGTTCACGTGGCCCGCACTTGAAACGGCTTCCCGATTCAAGATCCCAAATCCAGAGCAATTTGGTCAAAGTTGGCGGCAAAGTCATTTAGAAGAAGGTCCAGGATTCAAGCTCAAAGCACCTGGTCCCTGGGGCCTCCCCACCCCACAGCGGGCATCATGGGCCACACACGGAGCCAGGGAGCACACGGGGGCGGGGGGGCAGAGGGGCCGAGAGGAAGGGCAAGGGCAGGGAGGGCAAGGAGTGCAGGGGAGCCGGCGGCGCTCTGAGCTAGAGAACAGGACACGGGGTGGGGGTAGGGGGGCACGGAGTGTCAGACAGAGGAGGGACGGAAGGCCAGGAGGGGTCCCCACACAGGAGGCCTCGCCGGAGTCCTGGACCTGCCTCGTAAATGCTGCTCTGTGGCTGGACATGGCCCGAGGGACCCCAGAACCACACCACGACCATGTCTCATGAGCTGACAGGCTCCAAAATGCTACCAGGAACCACAGATGCTAGTGGGGTGGCCTGAGCATGCAGGTGGGGGGTGGGTGGGCTCCGCCGCCCTGGCGCTGGGGTACCTTTGAGCTCCTAACGGGACTGTCCTTCTAAAAGTAGACTTTGGACATGGGGAAGGCCACTGCAAGACCAAAGAGACAGAGTGACGGCTGTGAGACGCAGACAGCCGGGCAAGGAGCCCGCGGACACAGGCAGATGCAGGACAGACAGGCAGCTGGACCGTGGGCAAGAGCGGAGCGGCCTGCGGCACCGCACATGGCAGCACCATGGGGCCGTGGAGGTGGCGGAGAGAGACAATGGGAGCCAGGACCACACCGGCCCCTGTGCGTGCCTGACACACCGCCACACGCCAGCCCCCGCCTGGGCCCGGAGCTCAGAAAGGGGGAGACAGGGGAGGTCCCCCATCCAGGGATGTGGGGGATGGGGAGCAAAGCCAGGCAGACCCCTTCAGAGACAGACGGAGGACCAGAGATCCTGAGACGAAGAAGGACTGGGGAGGCTCGAGAGAGACAGGGAGCGGGGGCTGCAGCGGCCACGGTGCCCCCCACTACCCACTTGGCCGGTGGAGAAACAGGCCCAGCAAGGTACCCAGGAGGCCCGGCCGCCCTGGCAGCGTGGCTGGGGTGGGACTGGGAGGGGGGCGAGGCCGGGGGTCCTGCAGGAGGCTCTTACCTTACCACTGATGTCACTGACAGCCACGTGGACAAAGATGGAGGCTTCTTCCATCCCCTCCAGGTACACGTGCCGGTAGCCTGCAATACCGGTCACCCGCCCGCTCTGCTCAAAGGCCCTGAATATGGCCTGTGAGCCCAGCTCTGGGGACACCTCCTCCAGGAAGCCCGCTGATATCATGGGCTCCTCCCCTTCCTGGGGGCCAGTTGATGCGCAGCCTGAGCACTCCTCCCCTCCCCCATCCTCAAAGCGCCCTTGGCCCCATACCTTCCTCCTCGGTCCCCACTGCGTCCCTAGACCTACCCATGGCAGGAGCCGACCCACAGAGGGGAGCTTAGCCCTGGTGCCCTCCACTGACCTACGGGAGGCACTGGTCTGTGGTGTGGGGGACACACTGGGTGTGGGGGAGGGACTGCTCTCTGTGGGGTGTGCTGGCCTCTGTGGCAGATGCCTGCCTGAGCAGGGGACATTGGTCTCTATTATGGGGGACGCTGCCCCTCCCCACCCTGTCAGCCCCCGCCTACCTGGCATCATGCTGCTGAAGGCCAGCGTCCTCTGGCCAATGAAGTCACGCCCAATGGGGTCATGGTCCCAGACGAGGAAGCGCACCAGTGCGATCTCAGGCATATGCACGGTAAACACCAGGGTCTCCTCCCACATGGGGTTGAATCCTAGAGGCCACGGGGAGGAGGTGTCACCTCTCACCCCAGTCCCTAGCCAGGAGGCCACTTGGGCCCACACCCTCTACTGGTGCCTCTGCCTAGGCTGGCCGCCCGGTGGAGAAAAATAGCCCCTGGGGACCAGGCTTCCCCACGGGCTCCTGTGAGGGGGCAGCGGCGGGGTCACAGGATCGTCCCCCGCCCCACCCTCCCCTGTGAGCCTCACCGTTGTCATCCACCACACGCGTCTGCTCCTTGTTGCAGTCCACGGGGAGCCCAATGACCTCCACCTCCACGAAGGGGTCGATGATCTGGGCGGGTAGGGCAGGGTTGGCACCGGGCCTGGTGTGGCGGCCCAGCCCAACCCGCCCCTGCCGGGCCCCTCCTACCTCGCCTCGGTCCCCCAGCATGGAGTCCCGCGGCTTGGGGAGCTGCTGTCCGCTGATGATGCGGAGCACCAGCTGCTTCTTGAGCTGTCCGGGCAGAGGGTCCTCGGAGTTGGGGTTGAAGACGCCTGGGGGGGCCAGGGCGCCAGGCTGAGGGGTTTGTGGTGGCACGGGGCACTCCACGGCACCCCGTTGACCGGCCAGGAGTCCCGGGCCGGGGACAGGGACAGAGGAGCAGGGTTCCAGCACGGGTGCACCAGTGGTCTACGTGCCGGTCTCCCCTGGGACCGTCCTTGCCACCCTCCACACGCCGGGCTCCCCGGTGATGGGGCTCCGCAGGCCCGTGCCCCCAGGCGGTACAGTGAAGGTGGCCAAGGCCGGCCAGGAGGGCTGGGAAGGATCCCGGTTAAAAGGGGGACAGCTCCACATGGCTGCTGGTGGCTGGCAGTGAGAAAGCTGGAGGCTCCGGGAAGGGATTAGGAAGCTATGACTGCCCCATGGGCAGTCTCCCTAGAAGTTTCCTCTTGGGGGCCTCGTGGGGGTCAGGCGTGCGAACAGGTCTCCCTTGTTCACCCCTGCCGGCCCCTGGTAGCATGAGGCCCTCTGCCGCACCCCCACTTCTTGCACCCCTACTTTGGAGGTGAGCCTGTGGCAGCCGCCCCTGCCCGTCCCGCGCCCCGGGCCACGGACCTCACCCTGGCACATGCACTCGGGCTTGAGCACGTAGCCACAGCTCCCGTTGGCACTGAACTTGGCCCGGTTCAGCTGCAGCATCCGCCCCTCCGACTGGTAGTTCAGGGCGACTGTGGGGGGACACGAGGTGGTCTGTGAGCGCCTGGCCCGCACCCCACCCCCACCTGCCCTGCTCAGCTGCCCCCGAGTCCAGTGTTCACCTACGGGAGCCGGCCCCGGGCTCACCCTCACGCACAACCCAGGCCAGGCGTCCCGGCGGAAGGCCCCTGGAGCCCAGCACAGCCAGCCCCCCGCCGTCCCAAGAAGCACGTGGCCGATGTGCCTCAGTCTTTCCCACCTCGTCCCGGGGTCCCCAGGACCCCACCCCAGTGCCAGCCACTGGCAGGGTGTGGCGGAGGCCCTCCGAGCCCAGCCTCCTGGAGCGCCGGGCCCTCCCACTGCGCAGTGCCGCACGCGCACCCATCTGGCAGCCGGCGTTCCAGAAGGGCTGGGGGTTGTAGTTGCTGGAGTCCACACGGTAGGGGGAGGGGTAGATGCGGGAGAGCTGGTGCTGGTTGAAGCGGAGGTACTGGGCCGGCTTCTGCTGCAGGATCTGCTGGGCCCTGGTCTCGCTGAAGGACGACACCTGCCAGCTGGACGCCACTGCGGGGTGGGGGGAAGGCCTCAGAGGCCCGCCAGGCTGCAGCACACCCGCTCCCACTCCCGGGGCCGGGGGCCCTCACCCTCTGCCTCCACGTCGCGCATGCCTACAGACTTGGTGTACTTCACCAGGTCCGAGAGGGCCCGGGACAGCTTCATGGTCTTTTTCTGCCGGGTCGCCCTGCGGGGAGGAGGGGCGATAGCGGTCAGGACCCCAGCGTGGGTGCCCCTGCAGACTCAGGGCAGCCTGGGCAGCACGGTTCGTGAGCCAGGCTCCCTGGTCCACATAGAACGTGCACCCAACGCCTACTACGCCCCGGGGCGGGTGCCGGGATGGGCAGGGGACCCCGAGGAAGGACAGGGGGGAGGGACAGGTGCAGGCGCCAAGCCCACCCAAGCACAGCGGGCTCTGGGAGCAGGCGCAGGTGTCCGTGTTGGCCCATCCGGCCCCACGACCCTGAGGTCCACACGCTGGGCTCCCCCTCGCCCAACCCACGGTGACTTCACGAGGCCACGGCAGGGCTGGCGCGTCCAACGTCCACTGTTTCAGGGACACGGACCTCGGCACTTCCTGCCCCACCTGTCCAGGGTCCAGGCTGGGGCAGGGCACTGACCCTCGGCTCTGGCTGCCCTGGGAGTCCAGGTCCTCGTCTCCCTCCTCCACGCTGGCCACCTTCTTCAGCTTGCGGGTCTTCTTCTATGGAGGGAGAGTGCAGTCAGGCCCGGTGGAGCCCCCGGATCAGCCACGGCCCTGCACAGGCCGGAGGGGGCAGGAGGCAGGCCCGTCGTCGGGCGCTGGTACCAGGGCTGCCCGGCTGGGCCTGCCTGTCCTCTGCAGTATGCTGGGCGGCCGGGGCCTGAGTGAGCCAGGGGCTTTGGCTCGTGTGCTCCAGGGGGAGGGCCGTCGAGGCACCTGCCCCAGCAGCCCCTGGCAGGCGATGTAGAGAGCAACCCGGGGGGATTCCGGGGGCGGGCCGGGGGCCCTGGGGGCTGCAGGGGAGGCCCCAGCCGGCCGGCACAGGGACAGCTGGGCCCGTGCGCAGGTGGAGCACAGAGGGGTCCAGCAAGGCGCCCCGCCCGGGAGCCCCGCCCGACCTTGCGCTTGGAGAAGCCGCTCAGAAGGATCCGGCTGCTCCGACGGCCGGCCCCGGCGTCCTCCCCTGACTCCACGTCCTCCTCCGCCTGGGGGAGAGGGAGACGGGGCAGCGGGGGAGCCCAGCCTCAGGCCAGAGCTCCGGGTGTCCTCCCCGGAACAAGCCGGAGGGAGCAGGAGCAAGAGCAGCAGGGGCTGGTGCCACCCCAGGCCCGGGGAAGCCCGGTCCGCCGCCGCCCGGTGGGCGCTGAGGCCGCTGCCGGGGACCGGGCTCCAAGAGGGGCGGGGAGGGCTCAGCGGGCCCCCCCGGACGTGTTGCTCTAAACCCACGCAGGCCCAGTCCTGCCTTTTCTCCCCACAGAGGGTGGGTGTCTGAGAAACGCCGTTCGTCGTCTGGAAGTTTCCTCGGCCGCGCGTGCTCATGTTAGGTGCGTGCGAGGCTCCCCGTGGCTCTGGTGTCCTGTCCTGCTTCTTGAGGAGACAAACGCGGTCTGCGCCCCCCGAAGCTGCCCTTATTCACCTCAGGGCTACCGTGAGGCTTCCTCACCGCTGCTTGCAGAGTACCTCCCCTGCCGCTGCCCGAGGGGTTCCCCAGGCCTGGTCCTGCACATGCGTCTGCACACCCGTAGACGCACCTTCCCCACTAGGCGTGCCCCGACCTGGACCACCGGCCGCAGCCAGGAGGGGAGCAAGGCCCCCTCCGTTGTGGACTGTGGAGCTCAAGGGGGACCCCAACTGGACCCCACTATCGGGACAGGGAGCACATGCTGGCCAGCTCCACCCCAGGGACACGGGGGATAAGACCTCATGCTCTGGAGTGGCCCCCAAGAGCCCCCGGAGTGCCTGCCCCTCGGCCTGAACACCGCTGTGGCTCACACACGGGAAAAGGAGTGTGTGGCCCGAGACACCGCTGGGCAGCTGCCCCCAGCTCCAGCTGCCGCCCTGGGCTGCCCACACTGGCTCAGGGGAGAAGCCCGGGAGCGTGGGGAGTCAGGACGCTCCCGTCTCCGCCCTGGGCCTGTCCTACTCGCGCCTTGCTAGTCCACGGCTGCCATCAGCTAGGGTCCGGTCACTCTCAGAAGCGTTTCTCTTTCTCTGCCCCAGCCCCAGCAACACCAGCCCATCTCCCTCCTAATTTACTGATGGCTCCACGGCCCACTGCCAGAGGCGCGGGGGGCCGTGTGCCTGGTGTGCTAGGAGCCAGGGGAGGCCGACATGCATCGCAGCTCTGCAAACACTGTCTGAAACGGCACACACCCATGGCTCTAAATCTGGGCACAGCCAAGGAGGGGCGCACGTCACCCCGCGTCCTGGAGGGGCAGCGCAGCCTCAGCCAGAATCTGCTGTCACCCACGCCCCCCAGCGCCCACATGTCTAAGCTTGGCTGGGTCACAGCACGGGCCCTAGCTCCGACCGCCCTCAGGGATGCTGTGGGCAGCAGAGGGCCCGCCCTGGGCCAATCCTGCCCCCAGACACAGCCTAGTGACCCCAGAGAGCTCAGCAGGGCGGGGTGGGGCGCTCAGGACAGCAGGAGAAAGTGTTTCTGTGCCTTGGACAGAGCACAGACGGCAGGGCCCAGCCTGGCCAGCCCCCTCTGATCAAGAAGGTCCAGTCCTGGCCCCTCTAGATGTCAGGGAAGGCGGTGCTGGGTCCCTCCCAGAGAATCAGGCCTGTCCTTGGCCAGCGCGGCCCCCACTAGAGCTGCGCCCAGCTCCGCAGACTGGGGTCCCGACCGGGGTCCTCTCCTTGCTCCTCTGATGGCACCCGAGTCACCTGCCCTCTCCCACACGGGGACCTCCCAAGGGATGGGGGACCGCAGCCTCGGGCCTCCCAGCAAAGGGGACAGAGAGGTGTGTTGGGGGCACGTGCATGACCCCACTGCCCAGATGTCCCCCCTGCCTAGACCCCCTCAGGGAGCTCTGTGCCCCACACCTCCCCATTGTCCCCCTACCCATGTCCCAGGAGGGGAAGCCCTAGTGCTACTGGGGATAGGGTGGTTCCCTGATCCCCTCCAAGATCCATGCCTGGCCACTCAGCCTAAGCAGCTTCTCCTGCTCTTCCGCTTCCTACTCCTCCTCCAGGAAGCCCTCCCTGATTTCCCCCCAAAACACACACAGAAAATCACACAGAGGTAAGTTTCCCAGGTCCAAATGGCCATCCTGTGTCCCCAACTCCCCAGGTGCATGCCCAGACATCGCTTGGTCGAGGGAAAGCAGGGACTTCACGTCGTGTTGCCACACCAGACACACTGCCCACCGGCTCACCCACAAGGGCCCAAGGTGCTCTGAGTCCTCCCCACCCAGGAACCCGGGACGGGTTTTGGGGGAGGAGGTGTACGCACAGGTGTACACAGGTGTGCCCTCAGCCGCAGGCTGACCTTGTAGGGTGCATGGCCCTCACCTTTTTGCCCTCTGCCTTGTGCCCAAGCTTTCCAGACGGGGGCAGCGTGGACACGGTGAAGTCATTTGGGTCCTCACAGTCCCGAATCTTCGACTCCTTCATTAACGAGTCTAGTTTCTTCTTGGCAATGTTTTCCACACGCTTCCGATTGGTGGCGACCTGCCAGAGCCAGACGGCCACCCCTGTGCCATCATCCCAGCCCTGTGGCAGCAGCAGTGACGGCCCCCAGGTCCCTGCTAGAGGGGCCTGCTGGAGCTGGGGAGCCCGAGCCCCATCTCGGCTTCTCCCCCTGGCCCCAGCCGCACACTCGCTCCTACACAACATTGCTTATCCGCACGCCGCCCCGCCGCAGGGCTACACGGCAGGCATGTCATTCGCCCGGGGCCCCGGACAGTGACCAGCAGGCCCGGAGCGAAGACCTCTCTGATTTGAACACCTGCACGTTCAACGCTACCCGAGGAAGCTCAGCAAACAGCTTTCCAGGCGTCAGGCCAGTGGGCCTTGCGGGAGGAGGTCAGTGTAGCCGGTGGCCACTCTGGGCTCCAGCAGCCCTAAGCAGCTGGGGATGTGGGATCCCACCACTGGCTCCCAGACACCTCAAGGAGTGGGCAGGGGGCAGGGACGGATGGCCGGCTGGCAGCCTCCAGGTGTCCTCCCTGCCTAGAATAGCCCCCGCCCCTTTACAGCCCTGACACACGGAACCCCTCCAGGGCAGGATCTGGGCCGTGGGCATCGGGCGCCCCAGGGAGTCACGCAAGGTAGACGTCAGACAACCTGGGTTCACAGTCACCTGGGGCCAGAGGAATATGCATCCACCTCCAAAGCAGAAAGAATTCTGCTGCTTCAGGGCTTTCTAGAACAATTAGCCTACGTGGCTGGGAACGCTCCTGCTCAATTATTTTCCCATCTGATGGCCCCTCAGGGAGAAGTAATGCCTTCCTGCCTCACAGCGGTGGCTTAGAACAGTGCCCAGAGGAGAGAAGAAGCTAATTAGAGTCGCCCCAGTCCCGCTCTGCCGAGCCCTTTTTCATTCCTCAGCCTTCCTGTGTGACTCCCCCAGGCGGGAAGCCCGCTAGCCAGGAGCTCCGGCAGAGCCTCAGGTGGGGAAGGGCACGCCCTCCAGCCGAGCATATGCCCAGCTGTCTAGCCACTGTACAAAGCACCCTCGCACCATCCCGGTACCCCCTCAGCCACCTGCCTCCTCCCAGCAAGGCTAGAAGCCTGCTGTTCGGGGCTGCAGCTCCCCTCCTTCCCCTACTTACGTCCCCGTTGAGGAGTTTGCAGTCCTCGTCGATCTCATCCGCACTGTCTTCATCAGACACCTCGCCCTCCTCAGCGTCCTCACTGATGCCAGCAGGAAGCTTCTTGCCCTGGGGGGAGGCGGGGACCACAGGAGGTGTCCTGCCGCAAGTGCTGGGAGGCCACCCGAGAAGCAGCAAAGGGAAGGAGCCCTTCGTAAGCTTGCTCGTGGACTTCAGGTCACAGGGTAGAGGCCAGCCCAGCACTCCCTTGCTGTGGCAGCACGGGAGGGAAACGCTGGGCTGTGCACTGGACGTCCTTAGATTGCGGGCCCACCACGGGGGAGACTGAGGCCGGGTCGGGGGTAGGGCCTACCCTGACTCCTCAGCATGGAGCCCCGTACTGTCTAGAGCAGGGCAACTGTCTCTCACCTGGCCCCAGAGCAGCGGTCAGAGGCCCAGCAGGACGCCGGCCCGGGGAGGGGCAGGCAGGGGCTCACCTTCACCAGAATCTTGCCCTTGAGCATCTGCGGAGAGGGAAGCATGGTGGCATCCTCTCCACTTATTGATGACAAGTCCAGCTTATCCCCGAGGATATCAGTCAGATACTGGGCCATCTTCTTCTGTTGGATGACACTGCAGTGATTTTCAATGGACAGGATCACTGGGTACCTGTGGGCCCCAACGTGGAAAGAACAGAGTGAAGCCAGGGGAGGGCCAGGCCCCACCTGCCTAAGACCTCAAGTCACCTGCACCAGTGAATGAAAAGATCTTCCCAGCAGCCAGGATAGATGGACCTGCCAGCCACTCTGGTAAGGGGCCCCTCGATGGCTTTGAAAAGCAACTGAGTGGGTGGGAAAGTTGCTGGGACAGATAAAGAAGGCCTACAGTTCATATCCCAGTAAGAAAAAACAAAGGCAATTAGAAACTCCAGGAAAACCAGGGGACACATTCAAGCAAGTCAGCAAGTCATGGTTTAAAAATGATGGACTCAACGGAGGTGCGGCGTGGAGTGGTGAACCAACTGAGAAAGACAATCTGGTTGGCCTGGATACGGGACTGTCCTGCGAACGGCTCCAGGGCCCCAACACTGGCCCCATAAGAAAGGAGACATCAGCTGGGCCCATGCCATGGGGCAGAACCTTGGTGTTACCGTGCCGTGCAGAACAGGGAGTGCAACTAGGAATTTTCATTATATGCTCTTCAGCTGTTTCATTTACTTTTTAACCAAGTGCACATTTTACTTGGACTTTTGCCAATAGATAACATGATCTTTTTAGAAAACGTCGGTGGCCCCGACCTAGAGGGCACGAATCAGAGCAAGAGACAAGCCCCGCGACGTGGAGGGCACAGGACTCGGGGCAAAAGTATTCACCTCCCCGTTTCTCAGGCTAGAACTGAAGCCTGACGTCCAAGGCGTTAGGGAAGAACCCTCTGCCGGCAAAGATCATGCTGGTGCCCAGAGCTTGCACTCCCGGTGCTGAGACCCCGGGTTCTCCGCGGCCCCAGACGCCTGTCTGTCCCAGCTCCCCTGCCCTGACGTGCCTCCCTCACCTGCAATTCTGGGCCCAGGCTGCCACTCAGCACTCCCACTCCCTTCTGGCAGCCCCACACGGGGCTTGGGCAAGCTCTTTCGGGAGGGGCCCGTCTATTTCTGTTTCCTAAGTCAATCTTGATTCTCTGCCCCTCCCTCATCAAATTAGTTCTCTCCTTGCCTGAAGCCTTGTTTAGCCAAGACTTGAAGGTGACTGTGAGTATGGGGAGGCGGTCTTCTATTTCCAGAAACAAAATTGGATTTTGCTCCACGGTGTCTGTAGCTGCAGCTGAGCGACAGCAAATTGAGTTTGGGGATTGAACAGCTTCTGGGGGTTAATTAGTGCCCGAGCTACCAGTGCTGGAGGAGGCTGACCCCAGGGCCCGCAAGTGTGTGCGACAGGGACTGCGGGCACAGGCAACCCACCAGCCAAAGCTCATCTGCCATCACCAACTGCCCCCACCACCCTCCCTCTCCCCAGACCTGCAGCTCCACTGCCTTCCCTGACCCTCAGCCTCAACGAGAGACCCCAGAATCAGTCCTGTGACCTCTGCAAACATGCCTCCTGAGAGAGGGTGTGGGGGAGGGGCAGGAAGAACCCTATGAGCCCCTTCCCCCCACCCTCCTGCTCAGGGTCCCTTCCCCAGTCCCAGCCACTCACTCATTCTTGACAAAAGCATATTTGTTGATGGTTTCGATGACATCTTTGAAGAGGATCTTGGAGGTCAGAGTGTAGCCGTGGTGCACGATGGGCTCCCCGTCAGGCCCATCCCAGCAGTCCACTGTGGGCAGGCAGACCTCAGTCAGGCAGACCCACAGCACGGGGACCGACCGAAAGCGTCCTCCCGCTTGGTAGCAAACACCAGCAGGAGCCTGTCCCAGCCCGTGCCGCGAGGAGGGCAGTCACCCTGCTCAGAGCCACCACAGGTGTGTCCCCAAGAGCAGACGCCGGTCCGCAGCCCAGGCGTGGGGCCAGAGCCCCCCACACGCACCCTCCACGCAGCGGCAGCCGGCCTGCAGGACCCAGGCGTACATGTCCACCCGAGACTGGGACATGAGCTGGTCGCCCACGAGGTAGGTGTTGTGGGACGCGGTGATGAAATAGTGGCTCAGCGGCCGTGTCATGTCCTGGTGCACGCCGTGGTGCTCGGGGTTGAAGATGTCACCGGCGGGACTCCGAGTATAGTTGGTGAAGCCTGCGTGGGAGGCACGGGGGGCGCTTAGCCCCGCACGCCGATCCTGCCTCAAGGCTCATCTCAGCACCACCCACCCCCGCGCCACGTAGGACAGGAAGCTGCCCGCTCAGGCCACCTGTCCCGCCCTCGCATTGCCGGCCCGCACCCTCCATGGGCCTGCCAGGACAGCTAGACCGCAGCCACGCCCTCACTCACCGTCGATGCCCAGCACCCCCTTACTCTTGTTTTCCGGGCAGGGCTCAAATTGCTGGACGATGTCCCGGCAGCTCTCAAGGGTCACACCCGCCATCTAGGCCGGAGCAGGGGCTTAAGCCCTGGCTAGCCCATCACGGGCCTGGGCTAGCCTCAGGCAACAACCCCCGCCCACCGCCACCACTGCCTCCCCCCTGCCTCTGATCGTCACATCAAGACTAACCACGGCAGGGGGAGGCTCAGGCCCCTGTGGTGTGCTTCCTGGACCAGGGGGCACGCTGGCTACCCCCAGTGTCACAAGACTTGGGACTCGGTGGCCAGGGGACTACTGGTGGGTCACTTGGCTTCGGAAGAGTTGTCTCCAACTTCAGATCCTTGAAGCCAGGGAAGGGTCTTTGGTTCCATCGGCTGGGCCACCCCTCATCCCCACCGGGCTAAGCATCTCAAGAGCTATGGACCAGTGCTGTCCCGGCAGAAGTCCCCGTATGGGAGGAGGTACAGGGGAACCAGGACCCAGGCCGGCCTTGGAGGGACCCAGGGGCGCAGGGAGCCTCCTCTCCCTGCCTCCCCCTGCTGCCTCCCCACATCTCTCACAGGAAAGCTGCACCACAAAGATGAGCCCAAGACAGCCCTGCACATCAGTGACCCCATGGACCAGAGGCCAAGTGACCTCCCAGGGCCCTGTGGTGCGGCAGGCCAGGAGCCCCCAGTTCCCAGATGCAGGCCCACCATTCCCGAGGAGCGCGGGTGAGGGTGCGTCACTGGTGACAGAAGGGAAAGGGGGGCAACAGGGGTCAGAGCCTAGAGTCCAGAGGCCTGGGTGAGGGCTCAAACGGCCTTCCTGGTGGACAGTTTTCGTCCCAGATATATGTTCTAGAAAGCTTAGGGTGAAGGACAGGGAATAATGAGTCAGAATTGCCCATCCCAGACAGGACCACCCTACCACCTCCACCCGCCACCCATGTACACCAGCCACCATGACAGAGAACCCACAGCCTCGTCCCAGGGCTGCCCACGGTGGCTGGGCTGAGGTTAGTGTTAGGGTCAGGGTTAGGGTTAGGGGTTAGGGGATAGGGATAGGGTTGGGGTTAGGGTTAGGGTTAGAGTTAGGGTTAGGAGTTGCCCTGGACATCAGGATCCCACGAGGCTGGTGCAAGTCTCTCCCGTCCAACCCCAGAGCTTCCCTAGCAGTGCAGCCACAAGAACAGAACCCCATTAATCTGTATATGTTAGGGGAGGTATTTTGGGAGAACCATCCCAGCTGCAGCCCTCTCTCATGTCCTGGGCTTGAGGCAGCCTTGTAGTGCAAGGTAAGGCCGGATGCCTGCCCAGGACTTAAGGACTGTTGGTGCCTGTGCAAACACCATGTTGACCCAGCCTGGGTCTCTCCGCTGTCCCTGCTGATCCAGCCACCGAGTTTTGGGTCCAGCCCAATGGCCGATACCTATTATCCCTAACCTGGAGTCTGACTCCATCCCACTCTCTGCCCAAAATGAGGTCCCTGAGGGTTTCAGGAAGTTTCAAGTCTGGAAGTTGATCCTCAAGGTGGCCTCCCACCGGCCCTGAGGTGGGAGCCACAAGCTGTTTGAGCCCTGCCAAAGGAGCGCTCTTTCCCCCAGAAAGAGGGAGCCCAGGGACACTGGCCTTCCCCTCTCCCACTGCTGAGTTCCAGCTTCCTGCCCACCACAGAAAGCAACAGTCAGCTCCTGCCTGGTCCAAGGTCAAGGGCACCCCCCACCCCTGAGCCTCTGGTCACTGCGTCCCCCATCTGCAGGGCTATGCCCAGGGAGCCCTCAGCCTCTTCGGATGGGCAGGGGGCATAGAGTCAGGAGAAAGGGGTGCGCATGCCCCTCAGACACCCAGGGCATCCAGGCACCTGCTGGACAAATGGGCAAATGGCAGCAGCGGTGGGCCTGGATCTCAGGGGTACAAGCTAACCAGACCCGTGGCGGGAACAGGAGGGATGGCTGGAGCATGGGACCCCATTCCACAAGGAGTTCCACGCTAAAGGTGCTGTGGTGAGGCACAGGCTCCCTTCAGGAAGCTCGGGGTGTCTGTGGTCAGGGCTGAGCTGCTCAGAGGCCCACAGGGGAGAAACCATGGAACTTCCCCAGTGTCCCTCAGGGTCTCCATGGGACACCCCCTCGAAGAGGCTGGCATCGCCCATGATGGGAACCGAAGCAGGTCAACGAGTGGAACCCTGAATGCCAGGCTGGCGCCCATCCTTTCACACTGAAGGGCTCTCAGCCACACTCAACCGGTTCAAGGGCCCTGGGAGCCCAAGGGGAGGCCATGTAGGCTCGGACCCTGCACCTGCTGCCCAGGCCCTCACCTTCTGCTCCACCTCCAGGAAACGCTGGAGGTCAGTGACGTCCAGGTGGTCTTTGTGGTTGCTGTAGGTCAGCATGAGCAGGTAGAGGTCCCGGCGGGTGGACATCATCTTATAGAAGGCACAGAACTCCTCAAAGCCCAGCGTCCCCTGGTGGTCATCTGTGTCTGCTTCCTGCAAGCCAGAAATCTGTGTCCCCCAGTGTCCCACCCGGATAGCTGCCTGGGATCCTTGCAGCAGAGAACTCACTGGGCGCCCCCGCCCTGACTCTCCCACCAAGAAGCCACTGAGTGACCCTTTAACACAGATCTGACCCTTCCCTCCCCTAGTCCCAGACTTTCAAGGTCAACTTACACCTAAACCTGGCACAGTCACCCCACACTGAGAACCAACACCCCACACTGGAATCAAAACTCCACTCTGGGGGTCAGTGCCCCATCTGGGAGTCAGCACCCCACGTTAGAGCCGACACCTCCCTGTGGCAGCTAACAGGCCACTCTGGAGTTAATGCCCACCCTGGGTTCTGAGCCTGTGATGGTACCAGGGTGCCCAGTGGCTAGAAGAGCTCAAGGCCGCAGGGTGTACCGAGTGCCCTGCCTTCAGCAGGGAGAGAGCACCTTGCTGCTGTCTCCCTCTTGCCGACAGGGCAGCTCTCACAACACCAGCAGGAACCCGCTGGACGCCAGTGAGACCACAGACTCCTTCATGAACCCACCACTCAGGGACCAACCCCTGAAGCGTCAGAGCCTGGGAACACCAAACACCAGAGCCAGGACAGACCCGGAGGACAAGGGACGGGGCAATGGCAGGCTGGACTGCCCGGAGGAGGCTGAGGTGCCCCGGGGCCATGGTGACCCCTGGGAATGGATCAGAAAGGCCCCACAGAAGGTGCCTCTCCAGCCCTGAGTGCCCTGGGGTGTGAACAGGAACCCCCGGAGGCTGAGGGCACAGCGGGAACGGACATGGGGTCAGCGCCACGGACAGCAGTGCTCCCGGCCCTGCCTCCTGTCTGGCCAGTCTTTCCTCGTGGACTGACACAACCTGGGGTGACGGGGGTGGGGCGTGGGCGCCAGGTCCCTGAGGCCCTCTCTGAACCGGGAGCGTCACCAGGGAACCCAGGACCACAGACACCCCCACGTCCGCATGCCCAGGGAGAGTACTCCTCTTGGGGGCAGATCTCTAACGCCTGCTCCTAAATGGGCGCTGTGAGGGGCACATAGCAGGGCCCCTGAGCCTCAGTCCAGGACCCCAGCACCCATGCCACGGCTGGGACAGGACCAAAGACCATGTGTGTCTGGAGCTGTGTTGGAGCAGCCCTGGGTCTGAGAGCCGGCAGGACGGCCAGGTGGGCAGCCGTCCCAGGGTGTGGTTGGAGCTGCGCAGGGACGCCCATCGCACTGAGTGTCTGGTCCCACCCAGTTCTGTGCTGGGCTGTACCGCCAGGAGTCCAGGCTGGGGAGGCTGCCTGCCCTCCGGCCCGCTGCGAGCCCTCGGGGCGAGTGAAAACACGTTCTGAGGATGAGACCCAAAAGCACAGCCCCTCAGGCCCAGTCCTTCGGTCGCTCCTTCTGCCCACAGTCACCGGCCGGCCAAGGCCCACTCTGGCTGGAGCCACTCTGCTGGGCACCCGAGGGCCACGCGGGGCCTAGCCACACTGCTGTCACCTCAGACTTCACGAAGCTATGTTCAAGGCGCCCTTTGCCCTCTACAGATCTCTCCGCTGGTTAGGCACGTCTAGGTACTGGAGATAATCTTGAAATTTCTTGGCAACCAAATCGACTCTAGTGATCAGAGCTGTTTGACCCGGTGGGAAGTCGGTGCTCCTATCCTGCGCTCCAGAGCACTGGGAGGGAGGCCGTGAAGATGACCCGGGAGGCCCAGGGACTTGGGGACTACTGTGGACACGGTGGAGGGGCACAGGCTCTGGGGTCCACAGCTCTAGGCCAGCGTCCACCCCACACACTTGCTGCACCCTTCCCTCCGGAGCCAGCCCAGAGCCGCCACCACACACACACACACACCCGTAGGCTCCAGGCTGCAGGGTCTCCCACTGTTCTGGGCTTCCTCGAGGGGATCTGGTCAGAGCCCAGACTCAGCCAAGCCAAGGGCGGGTCAGAGGGCTCTGCGGGGAGTCCCCGTGTCTGAAGCCTGCCTGAGAGGCCCCATGTCCCTACAGGACCGGGTGGGCATGGGCTCCCCAGGGCTCCCAGCCTGGGCACATCTTCAAGCCAGGACTTTGTGCGTGACCTTCAGGCCCTGGGAGCCTGCGCACACTCGTGCCCCATTCTGGGAGGGGAAGATGCTCTCCTTGCGCCTCAGAGGACAGGCTGGACCCCAAGGTCTAAGCCAGCCTATTGCCCAGCCCCTGACAGCCTCACTGTTCTGGAACAACCTCTTGCCCCAGAGCGGTCCCCAGAAGCAGCATCGGCAGGGTACAGGTAGGGAGCTGATCTGCAGGCCTGAGCCGTCTGCCAGTGCCGTCTGCCAGCTCCTCACTGCCCAGGCAGTCTCTGTTCCCTTGGGGGCCCCCAGGAGGGGCCCTGGGAGCCCCCTAGTCCTTGCCCAGCAGCCCAAGGGCATCCCACTTGCCCCTTCATTCACGCTCGTCTTGCTCAGCCCAGCGCCAGCACCTGTCTGTCATGAGAGCCCAGGGGAAGCCCCAGGGGCCGTTCCCGGTGGAGCCGTTGGCTCTGTGTGCGTGACAAATACAGAGTCAGAGGGACCGAGAGATGGAGAATCATCTTTCCAGGCTGCATCCTAGGAGCTGGGCTTGTCTGCCGTTCAACCCCACAAAGCAGGGACCCACTGATGCCACCTTTCTCCACACCATACCAGCTGAGGTTCGGAAGGAGAAGCTAACTACGGACAGTAAAGCCTGTGTCTCTGCCGACAGATGCATTTTCCGAATCCTAACGCGGGGCCCGCTGAACCAGAAGGCGGCCCTGGGCGGGGCCCCAGAGCTGCTGCCCACAGGATGGGCCAGTGCCGGGCACCCTGGGGGAGGACGAAGAAAGGGGATGCAGCCTGCTTTGGGTGGCTTCCCTTGGGGACCTGACGGGGTCCAAATGCCCCCTGCGAGGGAGGGCCCCCAGGAGCAGCTGCCACCATGCCCCGGGCTTGAGCCGCCTCCGCTCCGCCAACGCGAGCTGTCCCCACCCCCGTCCCCCGCAGGCCCCGCCGGGACTTCCTGCAGCTCCCTCGGGACGGCTCCCGGGGACGCGCCTGCACCGGCCCCACCTCACCTTGAACATCTGCTTCACCCTCTGCCGTGGCAGGTTCACGTTCAGCTTGTGCAGCAGCTGCAGGACCTCGCTGATGCTCAGGCTCCCGTCCCCATTCTTGTCGGCCTCGTCAAACGTCTGCTTCAGCCACTTCGGGGCCGAGTCAGGGAGCAACACAGTCCAGCAGGGCCAGCTGCGCCCACCCCCCCACCCCCCCGCCACGGGCCGGGAGGAGTGGAGGACCCCAGCCCCAACGCCCCTCCCCTGCTCCCTTTCCCCAGATGTGTGACACCCCCCCAGGAGGCTAGCCCTTCCCTGACACCTGCCCCCAGACCAAGGATATTGGTCCCTGGTACGCTGGCGGCGGGCCAGGCTGTCCTCGTCGCTGATGCCGGCCATGAGGTAGCGCAGGCCGGTGACCCAGGTGCGCGCCTCATCCCCACTGGGTGACACCAGGTCCAGGGACTCTCGGTGGCTGCCGTGGTAGATGCTGAAGCAGCAGTTGGGGTCGAAAACCCCATCAGGGTAGCGCTGGAAGACCTCAGACTGCCGCCCCTCGCTCACCTCCTGGATGGAGTCAATGGAGACTGCGGGGGGCAGGGGCACCGGTCACAGCCCGCCCAGTGCTCGGAGCCCCCACGTGCTGCAGCGGCTCAGCACAAAGGGGCAGGAGAGGCGAGGCTGGGGACAGCCGGGGGAGGGGCATTTCAAGGGACCCTCGAAAATACAGACGGGCTCAGGCTGGAGAGCCCACCCCTCCCCGCTCTGCTCTGACCGTAAGGTCTGCTCCCCACTTCCTTCGGGTGTGAAAGAGGTTCACACACTCCCCCGGAGGGAGGGGGCTGCCTCCCCCGCATTAGTAATCCCAGGCATGTGGCCTCTGCCCCAAGCCCAAGGCTGCAGAGCAAGGGAGCCCAGACAAGCCCCTTCTGTCCAGCTCTGGCCAGCTCGTGTCCCCACCCAGATGCCAGCCTGATGCAGGGCTGCCCCCCTGGTGAGCACTGGCCCCGCAGGTGGTGGAACCAGGGGTGCAGCAGGGTCCTGCTCTGTGTGCCCCAGCCCAGGTGCCTCCAGAGATATCCTTACTGGACGCAGCCTCCGGAGCTCCAGAGCCTCCACGCAAGACCTGACGAACGCCCAGCCGACACCCCGCCGCTGAGCTCAAGAAGGCGTCTCTAGGTTCAGCTCCCGCACGTGGGGCAGGGCCCCTCATGGCGCGTGTGCAGGGCACCGGCAGCCAGGGTCCCCTCTGGGAGCCAGGCACGCGGGGCCGGCGTCCCAGCTCTGGGCCCTCCATCCAGCTTTCACTGCCTCCCATTACTGCTGGCCATTTCTGCTGCTCTGCCCAGCAGGCGCTATGCCCTTCTGGGGGCGGGGTTGATCCTGCCCAGGGCAAGGACGGTGGGGCAGCCCCATCAGTGCGGTGAGGGGTGGGCTCACCCCTCTGTCTTCTGCTCCCACTCCCTGAGCTCCCAGGTGGGCCGAGCCCACCTACCTGGGGGAGCTGCCTACTTCCTTCTCCACATGCGTACATGTGCCTGGCACGGGTGGGGGTCCTGAGTCCCTGGACTGGGAGGGTGACAGTCAGGGAACAGCTGCCCCCCATTCCTCCCTCCTGGAGACCTTCCAAGGCCAGAGACAGCTCTAAACAGTGCACTCAGCCTCCCCTCCAATCCTGGCCAGTCTCTGCTCTGTCACCCCTCCCCTCGAGGGACCTCTGTGACCCCATCTACTGGTCCCCTCTCTCTCCATCCTCTGTGTTTTCTTCCATGCTCAGCTGGACATGAAGTTGCCCTATTGTGAGGTGACTGCCCACCTTGCACTCGAACCCAGTGCAGGGAACAGAGCCGCGTGCAAGGAGGAGCCCCGGGGAGAACTGCATCTCCACCCCTCCGGGCCCAGAGGGCAGTGCCAGCCCTCTCCTCCAGGATGCCCTCCAGGGGCTTCCACAGCCCGGCTCTCTCCCAGGCCCCACGGCAGCGACAGTGCCCTTGGCAACTGCTGGGCTGAGGCCTGGTCCTGGCCCCCCTGGGTCTCTCCCGGCCTGTGCGGGCTCTAACGTGTCCCTTCCTGCCTCTCAGCCTGGCTTCTGCCATGCCGTGCTCAGAGATCAACTGTGCCCTCCCCTCCCCTGCACAAACCCTCCCAGCTCAGGACCCCTCCTGGCCCCAGGAAAGGGGAGCTGGTCTCCAGAGTCCTTGAGGGCTCTGCCAGGCAGGAACAAGGCCAGGCCCTGAAGGGCACTGGGCTCCGGCCCCTCCCTACCTGGCATCCAAGGTCCCCTCAAATCTCCAAATCCACTGGACCCGTGTGCCAGGCCCAGAGCCCCCGACCTTGCTGCCCTCCCAGCTGCCCGCAGCTGCCCCCCACCCCACGACCCTCCCCCCAGCGCCGCCGCTCACTCTTGGCCTTCTCATTTTTGCGCGACGGCCGCCAGCGGACGCAGGAGCAATGCTCGTCCAGGAAGTAGAAGCGGACCAGGCCCTTGGAGCCGCCTCGGAGCTTGAGCATCTGGGTTCCCGCCTGCATGGCGCTCATGCACCTTTCCACTGGGCGTCCGCAGACGTGGCAGACAGACGGACGACACAGAGACAGATGGACGTGGCAGACAGACGGACGACGCAGAGACAGACAGGACACTGTGAGTGCTGGGCCCCCCACGAGCTTCGGGGGTGCAGAGACCAGCCACACGCCCACCTCCGGGCCCACGGAGCCCACCAGAGAGACTGGGGCTGCACAGCCTGGCAGCCGCCACCTCCCCTCATGAGCCTGGGCCAGGTGCGGTCCCAGGCGGGGCCCAGGGCCGCCACGGCTTTGCTTTCCTTTGCTCTGGCCGTTTGCCCGCCCTCTGCCAGCCCCAGTGACACCACAACCTGCCCCAAAGCCGACGACGCCCTCTCCGGGGCTGCTACGAAGTGTGGCCTCTGTGCCGGGCACAGGGAGGTCCCTGGCAGGCGGCTGGCAGGCCGGGGGTTCTCCTGAGACCTATACCCCCTTCCTGTGGCCTTCAGGAAAGCCGCCCTCCTCCAGGAGGCGGGGGTGACTCGGCACAGTCGAACCCTGGGGGCCCAGAGGGGACCCTGTGAGGCCAAGTCTTGCACTGGGGGTGGGGAGACAGCACCAGACTTCAGCTCCAGAATGCAAACCCATCCCCCAGCGACCCTCCCCTCTTCCCCCTCCTCTGTCTGCCTGGCTTCCTGTCTGCAGCCTGCATGTCTCTCCAGTCCCGGGGTCGGGGTCTCCAGGCCAGGCCAGCAGCCCCCTGGGGCTGGAGAGAGGCCCAGGGATGGGGTCAGTTGTTGCCCCCAGCCTCCAGCCCCTGGCCCCCTCACACCTACTGACAGAAAGCCGGGCCTCAGAAGCTGCTATTTGTTTAAGCACCGAGGAGTCGCCCCCACGAGACCCACCCAGCGAGGGACCCTCTGCTGGCGTGTTGTGGAGACACCGCCCGCAAGGGGAGCCCAGTCGGGCAGGACCCCCTGGAGGAAGCCAGTCCCTGAACCTGCACTGCAGGGTGGTGGGACACGGCCCACGGGGAGGCCGGGCTCCATGGGGGACACGGGGAGGTGAGGACACAGGTGGTGCTGGTAAGCGGGCAGCAGAGTGGAGAGACGAGGCAGGGCCTGGGGGCTGGGCGGCCCAGAGGCCCAGAACAGGTTCTAGAAGGCAGCCCCTGGACCAGGCCCCATCCTTCGGCCAGAGCAGACACCCGGGGGCACAGAGCCCAGATGGGGCCATCCACGGGCCAGCCCTGTCAAAACAGATATGCAATCTTCCCGTCACAGCCGGGCAGGCCTCCACCCGCACACAGCTGAGTCTCACATCGCTAAGGGGTGTCCCGGCCACGCCGACGGTTCGTGTCCTGCACGTGGGGCTTCTACCCCACTGGGGCTGAAGGTGCACTGCCCCCCAGAGTGCCAGGGACACCCCCCCAGCAAAAGCTGCAGAGCCGCCTGAGTGCCCAGCCACGGTCCTGCCCCCAGGCCCTCCCTGCCCCTGACCCCTCATCCTCCCCACTGCCTGCTTGGCCTGCAGCCTCTAGGCCCCGGGGTGGGCGGAGGGGTGGTTGGGGTGGGCAGACCGGGGCGCTGCAGGAGTCTCTCAGAAGGAGACCCGAGGGGCAGGAGGCTACAGTTCACACCCCTGGGAGCGGCCCCCACCCTCCTGACGCCAGGGGCTGGGGGACTGGGTGGGGCTCGCTGGGCAAGCACCCCATGGCCAAGCAGGGCTGCCCCCTTACCTAGTGGGCCAAGCTGCCACGGTGGGGACACAGTCACACTCGCTCCGACCCAGAGGAGGGCCTCCGCCAGGTAGGCCACCGCTCCCCCAGGCCGGCTGGGGTCAGACGGCCTGGGGACCGACATGCCGGGACAACAGCCAGGGTGGCTCCTGGAGGCCAGAGAGGGCCCGCGTCCCCCCCCCCCCACCTCAGCAGCAGGTCAGGGAATGGCAGGGGTCACGGAAGCCCCACGGGTCCCCTCCTCTCTTCTGCCTCCTCCTCCTGGCAGCACTTCCTTCAAGGCCCCCCGGGGCTGCTCCCGGGCACCTCTGGCATTGGCCCAACTGTCCCCCACTGTCTGACGGGGCCCCTAGGCCAGCCTGCCCACCCCGCGGGGCCGCAAAAGGATCCCCGAAGAAGCAGCGCCTGGAGTCTGAGGGCAGGGGAGCGGCTGCACCTCTGCCCACACCGCCCAGCCTCTGCCCAATCCCCTGTGCTAATCCAGCCCAGGTCCAGCCCAGCTGGCCAGAGGATTTAGGCCAAGGGAACTCCCAGCTGGAGACCAGGAGGGGCACTAGGCAGCTGGCAGCGTCGAGGAGGGCCCAGGCCACCAGCCCCCACGTCCTGGCCAAGCAGTGACAGCCAAGACAGAGGTGGTCACCCTGGGGACCCGAAGAACACGGCTGTAAGGCCTGGGGTGACCGTCCTCGTGGGACCACCCACCGTTGCTCACCATCCTCCCCATGCTGGATGCAAAGGCTGCTGTCCCTGCCCCATTCCAGCCTGAGCCCCAGAGGACCCTACTCCCCACCCCACAAGTCTTGCACTTGCCAGAGACTCTGAGGGGTTCCCACAGTCCCCAGGGGGAGGGGGTAAAATGGGACAAGAGGAGCAACATCCTGTCCCCCAGCCCCCATCCCTCTGTGGACTGATCCGGAGCTGGGCATGAAGGGAGGGTGGGATTCCAAGGGCCCAGATCTAGCGCTCCCGCTCCCGCGCCTGCTCCCTCAGTCAGCTCCAGGACCCTGGGTGTACAGCCTCAGGTCCCAAGGACCAGCCCTGAGGCCTGACCCCTCTGGGCTGCGGCAGCCCACTGCCCCGCGTGCGTTCACCACTGAGTCCAGCCCAGAGGCTGGGCTGCTCTGGGCCTCCTCATGATAGACCCGGCCTTGGGGAGAAGGACCCAGCCCAGGGAAGACCCGCTCGCCCATCTGCCGACCGGATACAAGGCCCAGACTGGGACAGTCACCCCGCCACCTGCTTGTCACTGCCCCTCTATCGGCTGTCCCTCCCCGACACGGGCCGCTCCCTCCTGCCTCAGAGCCTACAGCTCTTCAAACCCAGGCTACCCCTGCTCTGTCCGGCTCCTCTCTCCTCCCCCATGCCTGGCCCCACTCTGGGGGGTTCCCACCTCCTCGCCCCCCTGCCCCCCCCCCCCCCCTGAGCCAGCCACACCTGTCATCCTAGGTCATGTCCCCTCGCTCTCAGCCACCAGCTGATCTGTGGTCTTTTGCCATCAGCCGGGGGAGCTCAGGTGCCCTGATCTGCCCGTGTAGGGGGTGCGCTTGGGGGCACAGGTTGAGTGGGCCCTAAGTCCTCCTCAGCCCCCCCAAGGGCGTGGTCCTCCGCTGCCCAACCAGACGAAGGTCCCGCTAACCCAGCCTGACGCAGGGCTCTGCCAGAGAAGGCCGTCTGGCACCCGGAGGCCCCGGTCGCCCCACCCCTGCTCTGAGACTCCGTGAGGCGGCGGATGCAGAGCCGGGGTCCTCCGGGGCCATAGGACACCGTGGGGGAGCTCCCGGCTCTGGGGGTGCCCATGTTACCCCACAGTGCAGCTGAGCACGCTGGATACGTGCAAAGGCCAGGCCCCCAGGTGACTGCCAGGCTGGGCTTGAACCCAAGACAGGCCCCAAGCCCTGATGGCTCCGTCCCCTAATCAGGAGCAAGGTCCCTCCTTTCCCACCCTCCCCACAGCAAGAGCTGAGCACTTGCTCTCACAGGGAAGGGATAGCAGCACCCATGAGAACCAAGCACAGGGCAGGGGGGCCACACCAACCCCCAAGTCTACACGTGGCCCCTGAGCCAGTCCCCACCTGCTCCCTCAGGGTCCCCTGAGAAAACCCCTGGGAACATACCTGGCCCACACCCAGGGGGACAAGAGCCCAGCCCACCCCGACAAGGAGGTCACAGCGGGGCCCAGGATGGACTCACTCTTCACCCAGCACCTGGCCCGGCTCCCACCCCGCCTGCCCCTGCGAGCACTAGCCGCCCCAAGCACCCTGACCCCAGCCTCGGTCCACGCCCGGGTTCAGTCCCAGTCGCCAGCCCCCGCAGGGCCAGCAGGTGTGGCCTCCGGGCCCTCGAGCCAGCGCACACCTGTCCGACAGGCACAAGCCGGGGCAGAGGGGGCAGCTGGGGGCCAGCAGCCCTGGCCAGGAAGGGGCAGCAGGGCTCCCTCCTGCTCCTTCCTCCTCAGGCCCGCCCCACACACCTCTCCATGGTTCTCAGTCCTGGAAGCTCAGCCGTTCCCTCCGGGACCCTCACGGCTGCCTGACAAGACCACACACGCTGGTCTGCATGCCCCCAAACCCCCAGGGCCCTCTGGGGCAGGACCACCCTGTCCTGTCCTGTTCTGTCCCTGTGTTACCCGGGTCAGGCCCCAATCAGACCCTCAAAAGTGGGCAGCTGGGCCCCCAGTGCCAAGACCACCAAGCCAGCCCCAGGGGGGGACAGGAGCCAGCACCAGTGCGGCCATGCAGCCATCTCGGGCTTGGCCACCACCGGGCAGAGCTGGCACCTGCGGTGGCAGTCCTCGTGGAGGCTGGTGCAGGGGTGTGCCCAGCCCAGATGGAGGAACAGGCAGGGCCACCTCCCCAGGAGCCTCCAGCCCACAGTGACACTCCGGACCACAGAGGCCCATGGGTGAACCGCTGACCCGGACGCCCACCCTGGGCGGTCGCTGGGAAGCAGGCTCTGAGGGCGGCCCCTGTCTCCGTGCCTCAGTCTCCCTATCTGGCAGCAGATCCCCTCAGCCCTTCCCTCCTCTCTTCCTCCAGTGGCCACAGGACCCTGGCTGCAGCTGCTCCAAGGGAGGAGCGTCCCGGCTGAGGCGGGACACCACTGGCTTGGCTGTAAGTCAGACGCTGACCCCGTCCTCACACAGGAGGCAGCAAGAGGCGGGGGGGTGGTCAGCGTCTCCACCTCTTCTCTGGGAAGGGTGGAAAAGCGATGCACTCTCTCAACAAAACCCACAACGACGCTCGAGGTCTTCCCTGGGCGAGCACAGGCGGACGGTGGAGGCGCTGCGGACCCCCTTCCACGGCGGGGGGT